GTGGATGTAGACAAAATATCGGTATGACACTGTTTGTACGGTACTGTGGATGTAGACAAAATATCGGTATGACACTGTTTGTACGGTGTTGTGGATGTAGACAAAATATCGGTATGACATTGTTTGTTCAGTGTTGTGGATGTAGACAAAATATCGGTATGACACTGTTTGTACGGTACTGTGGATGTAGACAAAATATCGGTATGATACTGTTTGTACAGTGTTGTGGATGTAGACAAAATAACGGTATGATACTGTTTGTACGGTGTTGTGGACGTAGACAAAATATCGGTATGACACTGTTTGTACGGTGTTGTGGACGTAGACAAAATATCGGTATGACACTGTTTGTACGGTGTTGTGGACGTAGACAAAATATCGGTATGATACTGTTTGTACAGTGTTGTGGATGTAGACAAAATATCAGTATGATACTGTTTGTACGGTGTTGTGGATGTAGACAAAATATCGGTATGATACTGTTTGTACGGTGTTGTGGATGTAGACAAAATATCGGTATGACACTGTTTGTACGGTGTTGTGGACGTAGACAAAATATCGGTATGACACTGTTTGTACGGTGTTGTGGACGTAGACAAAATATCGGTATGACACTGTTTGTACGGTGTTGTGGATGTAGACAAAATATCGGTATGACACTGTTTGTACGGTGTTGTGGATGTAGACAAAATATCGGTATGACACTGTTTGTACGGTGTTGTGGATGTAGACAAAATAACGGTATGACACTGTTTGTACGGTGTCGTGGATGTACACAAAATATCGGTATGACACTGTTTGTACGGTGTTGTGGATGTAGACAAAATATCGGTATGACACTGTTTGTACGGTGTTGTGGATGTAGACAAAATAACGGTATGACACTGTTTGTACGGTGTCGTGGATGTACACAAAATATCGGTATGACACTGTTTGTACGGTGTTGTGGATGTAGACAAAATATCGGTATGACACTGTTTGTACGGTGTTGTGGACGTAGACAAAATAACGGTATGACACTGTTTGTACGGTGTCGTGGATGTAGACAAAATAACGGTATGACACTGTTTGTACGGTGTTGTGGATGTAGACAAAATAACGGTATGACACTGTTTGTACGGTGTTGTGGATGTAGACAAAACAACCTCATGACACTGTTTGTACGGTACTGTGGATGTAGACAAAATATCGGTATGACACTGTTTGTACTGTGTCGTGGATGTAGACAAAATATCGGTATGACACTGTTTGTACGGTGTTGTGGACGTAGACAAAATAACGGTATGACACTGTTTGTACGGTGTCGTGGATGTAGACAAAAAAACGGTATGACACTGTTTGTACGGTGTTGTGGACGTAGACAAAATATCGGTATGACACTGTTTGTACGGTACTGTGGATGTAGACAAAATATCGGTATGATACTGTTTGTACGGTGTTGTGGACGTAGACAAAATAACGGTATGACACTGTTTGTACGGTGTCGTGGATGTAGACAAAACAACCTCATGATACTGTTTGTACGGTACTGTGGATGTAGACAAAATATCGGTATGATACTGTTTGTACGGTGTTGTGGACGTAGACAAAATATCGGTATGATACTGTTTGTACGGTGTTGTGGACGTAGACAAAATATCGGTATGACACTGTTTGTACGGTGTTGTGGACGTAGACAAAATATCGGTATGACACTGTTTGTACGGTGTTGTGGACGTAGACAAAATAACGGTATGACACTGTTTGTACGGTACTGTGGATGTAGACAAAATATCGGTATGATACTGTTTGTACGGTGTTGTGGATGTAGACAAAATATCGGTATGACACTGTTTGTACGGTACTGTGGATGTAGACAAAATATCGGTATGACACTGTTTGTACGGTGTTGTGGATGTAGACAAAATATCGGTATGACATTGTTTGTTCAGTGTTGTGGATGTAGACAAAATATCGGTATGACACTGTTTGTACGGTACTGTGGATGTAGACAAAATATCGGTATGATACTGTTTGTACAGTGTTGTGGATGTAGACAAAATAACGGTATGACACTGTTTGTACGGTACTGTGGATGTAGACAAAATATCGGTATGACACTGTTTGTACGGTACTGTGGATGTAGACAAAATAACGGTATGACACTGTTTGTACGGTGTTGTGGATGTAGACAAAATATCGGTATGACACTGTTTGTACGGTGTTGTGGATGTAGACAAAATAACGGTATGACACTGTTTGTACGGTGTCGTGGATGTACACAAAATATCGGTATGACACTGTTTGTACGGTGTTGTGGACGTAGACAAAATAACGGTATGACACTGTTTGTACGGTGTCGTGGATGTAGACAAAATAACGGTATGACACTGTTTGTACGGTGTTGTGGATGTAGACAAAATAACGGTATGACACTGTTTGTACGGTGTTGTGGATGTAGACAAAACAACCTCATGACACTGTTTGTACGGTACTGTGGATGTAGACAAAATATCGGTATGACACTGTTTGTACTGTGTCGTGGATGTAGACAAAATATCGGTATGACACTGTTTGTACGGTGTTGTGGACGTAGACAAAATAACGGTATGACACTGTTTGTACGGTGTCGTGGATGTAGACAAAATAACGGTATGACACTGTTTGTACGGTGTTGTGGACGTAGACAAAATATCGGTATGACACTGTTTGTACGGTACTGTGGATGTAGACAAAATATCGGTATGATACTGTTTGTACGGTGTTGTGGACGTAGACAAAATAACGGTATGACACTGTTTGTACGGTGTCGTGGATGTAGACAAAACAACCTCATGATACTGTTTGTACGGTACTATGGATGTAGACAAAATATCGGTATGATACTGTTTGTACGGTGTTGTGGACGTAGACAAAATATCGGTATGATACTGTTTGTACGGTGTTGTGGACGTAGACAAAATATCGGTATGACACTGTTTGTACGGTGTTGTGGACGTAGACAAAATATCGGTATGACACTGTTTGTACGGTGTTGTGGACGTAGACAAAATAACGGTATGACACTGTTTGTACGGTACTGTGGATGTAGACAAAATATCGGTATGATACTGTTTGTACGGTGTTGTGGATGTAGACAAAATATCGGTATGACACTGTTTGTACGGTACTGTGGATGTAGACAAAATATCGGTATGACACTGTTTGTACGGTGTTGTGGATGTAGACAAAATATCGGTATGACATTGTTTGTTCAGTGTTGTGGATGTAGACAAAATATCGGTATGACACTGTTTGTACGGTACTGTGGATGTAGACAAAATATCGGTATGATACTGTTTGTACAGTGTTGTGGATGTAGACAAAATAACGGTATGACACTGTTTGTACGGTACTGTGGATGTAGACAAAATATCGGTATGACACTGTTTGTACGGTACTGTGGATGTAGACAAAATAACGGTATGACACTGTTTGTACGGTGTTGTGGATGTAGACAAAATAACGGTATGACACTGTTTGTACAGTGTTGTGGATGTAGACAAAATATCGGTATGACACTGTTTGTACGGTGTTGTGGACGTAGACAAAATATCGGTATGATACTGTTTGTAAAGTGTTGTGGATGTAGACAAAATAACGGTATGACACTGTTTGTACGGTACTGTGGATGTAGACAAAATATCGGTATGACACTGTTTGTACGGTACTGTGGATGTAGACAAAATAACGGTATGACACTGTTTGTACGGTGTTGTGGATGTAGACAAAACAACCTCGTGATACTGTTTGTACGGTGTTGTGGATGTAGACAAAATAACGGTATGACACTGTTTGTACGGTACTGTGGATGTTAACAAAATATCCTTTTGACACAGTGTCATGGACAAACATAAAACAACCTTATGACATAGGATGTACTGATAAAATGACCTTTGTCCGCCGATCGACTTATATTGCTCAAGGTTTGCCTGTAACCATTCACAAGTGTTTCAGTTTTAAGGTATGCTATAAAAATATTGAAATATTTACTGATGTGATACACTCAGTAATTTGCAAATATCGTTCCGATCTTTAATTTAGATAAGGCTGTTTTTTGTATTGCAGAACTGAAAGCCAGCTGTGCGTTCAACTTAATGTAAAAATGATTCTGTTCTAAACAAAATTCGGATAATATCGCGATCGTGCTTCACGTCGTGTAAAGTAATATCGGGAGTGTTGGCTCTAGATTTTATTCGACAATGCTTTTCACGCCAGGAAGAAGATACTGCAGACATTCCTAAATGAAAGTATTAATTTCTGGAATTCTGCCTTCATCTTTCTGAATAATTTGGTCCGCTTTTGATTTCCAGTTCAGTAAGATAAAATTGAAAACACATGTAAAACGAAATAGTTGACAAGAGAAATATTCCTTTTAAATCTCGCAACACATATGTTACCGTTGTGTAGTGTTTTAGGTTCCATATAAAAGTAATGTTGATTTGAATTATTACAGAAATAATCAGTTTTCGTGATAATTTATAAACAATGTAGCAGAAATGAAATGTAGAAATAGAACTGTTAACGCCATGCACGTGCAGATTCGATGGTAACGTTTTAACAACGCAGTTTCACGCAGAGCAGGTGGTGGTCACGTGTAGGAACGGTAATTCTATATATCAGAACTGGACAGCTTCATGTACCAAGGAAGGATAACAAAACTGAAGTTAATTAAAAATATTACGACAATCATGAACAAATAGACACTATAACTTCTAGATAGGGATTGTGTACTTATCTCCCTTTGGTTTTCATTCATGTGTAAGAGTTAACTCCCCTACGATCGGCCCACGTGTCAATGGTGTGTATGTTAAATAAAACATTACCACTCGTGGAAAAGAAAATGATGTCACCGATACCTGTATTACAACATTTTGTTCTAAATGCGTGACCTACAGAGAAATTGTACATGAATATCATTACTTCTGTATATCAGTTGATCATTAACACAGCGAGGTATCAAAACGACTTTTATCCTGTAATGGAAGACCTTTCTACAAAGATTGTTATGAACAAATATCTGCTGCAATAAGAAGGGTCAAATTTCAGAAACTGTCCACAACCGAGTATGTCTGTAAGGAATATTATATATCGAGTGAGTAGAAATCCTTTGCATTATCACGTAACACCTTGACCTTGTCCTCCACTGATAACGAGCTGATAAGTCTGTTAAACAGATCGTACACGTCGTTAAATGAAGCCTTAGTCAGGGTACACACTGGCCAGTCGGACCCGAACATCACTCTGTCCACTCCAAAACACGATAAGATGTGCTGGAAAATACAATTCATGTGTATCTTTGTTTGTTTGTTTGTTTGTTTTTTTTTTTTTTTTTGAAAAAACGAAACGCGAAATTCTAATTTCGATATTCTGATAAGATAGTATTTTCCTTCGCGAAAAAGACGGGAAACTGGTATTAAAATGTTTTATTCAATAAACAACGTGATACATAGTTTTGCTATTATACTGGATTTTTTCATTGCGCGTCAATAAGTCTTGTACAATATAGAATATTTACCTGAACGTAAGGAACAAAGTCTTCGGTTTGCCATGAATTCCAGTCAGCTTCTGTCACGAGGCCAGATCTAAGTGTGAATATCACAGACACAAAGCGTGTAATAACGAATCAAACATGAGATGACGGAGTGTCCAAGAAAGGGTAAATTTATACCCCAAACAAGGTAACTATATATCCTAGGAAGGGTAACTAAATATCTTAGACAGAGTAACTATATATCCCAGACAGAGTAACTATATATCCCTGACAGGGTAACTATATATCCCAGACAGAGTAACAGTATATCCCAGACAGGTTAACTATATATCCCAGACAGAGTAACTATATATCCTAGGAAGGGTAACTAAATATCTTAGACAGAGTAACTATATATCCCAGACAGGGTAACTATATATCCTAGACATGGTAACTATATATCCCAGACAGGGTAACTATATATCCTAGACAGGGTAACTATATATCCCAGACAGGGTAACTATATATCCCAGACAGGGTAACTATATATCCTAGACAGGGTAACTATATATCCCAGACAGGGTAACTATATATCCTAGACAGGGTAACTATATATACCAGGCAGGGTAACTATATATCCTAGACAGAGTAACTATATATCCCAGACAGAGTAACTGTATATCATAGACAGGGTAACTATATATCCCAGACAGGGTAACTATATATCCTAGACAGGGTAACTATATATCCCAGACAGGGTAACTATATATCCCAGACAGGGTAACTATATATCCTAGGCAGGGTAACTATATATCCTAGACAGAGTAACTATATATCCTAGACAGGGTAACTATATATCCTAGACAGAGTAACTATATATCCTAGACAGGGTAACTATATATCCCAGACAGGGTAACTATATATCCTAGACAGAGTAACTATATATCCTAGACAGAGTAACTATATATCCTTGACAGGGTAACTATATATCCCAGACAGGGTAACTATATATCCCAGACAGGGTAACTATATATCCTAGACAGGGTAACTATATATCCCAGACCGGGTAACTATATATCCTAGGCAGGGTAACTATATATCCTAGACAGAGTAACTATATATCCCAGACAGGGTAACTATATATCCCAGACAGGGTAACTATATATCCTAGGCAGGGTAACTATATATCCTAGACAGAGTAACTATATATCCTAGACAGGGTAACTATATATCCTAGACAGAGTAAATATATATTCCAGACAGGGTAACTATATATCCCAGACAGAGTAACTATATATCCCAGACAGAGTAACTGTATATCATAGACAGGGTAACTATATATTCTAGACAGAGTAAATATACCAGACAGAGTAACTACATATCCCAGACAGAGTAACAGTATATCCCAGACAGAGTAACTATATATCCTAGACAGAGTAACTATATATCCCAGACAGAGTAACTGTATATAATAGACAGGGTAACTATATATTCTAGACAGAGTAAATATACCAGACAGAGTAACTACATATCCCAGACAGAGTAACAGTATATCCCAGACAGAGTAACTATGTATCCCACACAGAGTAACTATATATCCCTAATAGAGTAACTATATATACCAGACAGGCTAACGCTAAATCATAGAATTGGTAACATTACATGGCAGACCGGTTAACGCTAAATCATAGACTGGGTAACATTACATCACAGACAGGTTAACGCTAAATCATAGACGGGGTAACTATATATATTAAATTATACATTGATTTTAGAACTAAGACAATGATTTCAGTATCCTAACAACATACATTTTACAATACAGGTTGTCACTTTGTTTGGCTATCTCGGACATGTCCAGTTTCCACTGGTCAATCTTCTTGTCTTTGATGTACGGTTTCGCTATATGATCTACCACCATTTTAAGTCTGAAAATAATCCAGCAAATAAAAATGTTATCAAAATGACCATGTGCGTGTACAAGTGTCAGCTCAGTCAACAAGTTATTGGTTTTTAACAAGTAATTTTATCAAAACTTGTTAATTATTATTTTTTCTTTTGCTTTAGTGGATATTAAGTCCGGGTTTCAAGGTATTATCAAATACAATGTTTTTACATTACATTTTACATATTTCCAGTGATGGATTGAATATGTGGAATTTAATACTGTAATGAAGCTCACCTGGGGAATTTTGCCACCACTCCTGGTATGTAAGACAAATGATGTGGCCTGAAACGAAACCAACGGAGAGGATATATAGCTAATGATGACGTCATAACAGTTTTCCGTTATTTTTGTTTTTTCTATCCTTTTTTTAATTGTTTGGATTTTATTATGAATACACTACAAAGGACATTTGCTATAAACGGTAAGTTCGATATACACTATAAATGTACTCAAGCAGATCAGTTCAGAGTGAATGGCGTCCACAGAAAACGTATAAGTATGTGTAAGTACGGTACGTATGGCCGTATATAACACATATGTAGTACCTCAATAGCAGGTCAAAGGTCAACCCTAATTCTTCCAGGACGGTCAGCCCCTTGTGAACGTCATCACGTGTGATCCATGTAGGGTCCTCCATGTCAAGAATGTGTCGGACTCCCTTAAATAAGTGATACTTCCTGAGGTCTGTTAGGGTCTCGCGTAACTGTTAACAATGAAACGATTGAGACACGATTTAGGTAACCTCGACAAATCCAGAATCTGGTAACTTTGTGGAAAATTCCAAGACAGGTTTTACCTCGAATACTTCGGAAAGTCTTTTCTCGGATAAAGTGATATAACTATCCATTAAGAAAATCTGAATGGGTCAATGACAATGCTTTTGTTAACAATGTAATAGAATTAAAAAAAGTGCGGGGGGGGGGCAAAATTTATGAAATAGGAATATACGTTTGGATCTGTTAGGTCAATGCCTCCAACAACGCCTTTGACTTCCGGATATGACTTCGCCTGGTCCATAACCCATTCTGTGAATATGTACAAAGTAAGTTAAATGACAGAGTTGTCGTTCGTTACTGTCACAATACATATTTCTATGACACTGTACCACTTGACTTAAACGACATTCCCGTTAGCTGAGGCTAGTGAGGTAACCTGCGTTTTAAACGGCAGTGCAGTCTGGGACAGATTGGTAACAGGTAGGCAGGTCTCTATTTTTACACCGGGCCATTAATCCCATTAGAAACAGATATTTTTTTCTGAAATTGCTATGATGAGGATCGGAGCTTACCTCACTGACCATTTTGGCTTATAGTATTAGGTACACATTTTAATATCACACGTATAGGTATGAATATGTCCTCATTAAAACTAATTAGGTCAAAATATATCTGTGTTTCCGTATTTCCGGTTTCTACTAGTAGAGACGGCTTTTTTAAGAAATATAATATTTATTTGCCTTTGACAGTAACTTTTTTCAAGTACCACATATTGTTTCGGGAATGGCTTATACCCATGTGTCAGGTATGTTAGAATTTAAACACGTTTTATTGCACAATAGTCTATAAATGGATCGGACGAAATATATCACAACTTATCAATGTCCTCTCCAAAATACAAGTATACAAATGCAAAGCAATAACAATGACCTTAAAATAATCGGTACAACGTATATTTTACAATGTTTTAGAACTTTTAGAACAGAACGAAAAAAAAAACAGAATAGAAAAGGAGAGTCAGACATCGAACAGTAATGTTTAGAAGTCCACAACTAAGCATATGACACCATTTATCCACCAGTATTTAGACAAATCTTTTACTATCAACAATAAGGTTCTGAACATACTTATCACCATAGAAAATGCTTTCATGTGTAATATTGGTATATCCTATTAAGTGTCTAAACATTGTATTTTTTTTTTTTTTTTTTTACATTATATATTGGACAATGAAAAATAAAATGTTTGGCGTCCTCTTTATTATAACCACACCGAGAGGACGAATTGCCAATAAAATTGACTCGGAATAAATCATAAGTAAGCTTCCTAATAGTTTCACGTATATGACAATGTATTATGTTCACTTTCCTTTCTCCCATTTTTTTAAACGTCGTTCTTTCCTGTGTCTGTTTTAATTGGTTTAACAGAATTTTCAGATTGTTACAAAGTGGTGCAATTTCTTTATCTGATGGCAAATTTTTCCATAAATTACAACAGGAATTTGGTATAAAATAGACATAGTAAGACTAAAGCGATAGTGAGGAATAGCATGGTCTTCTCTATTTCTTAAGTCACACGCAGACATACCAGACACTGATTCAAATCCCACAGGCATATTCTAGAAATGTTTTTAGGAGTGCATGCTTTCAAGAGAAGTGCCCTAATTGAAATTTGTAAAAGTCGAACACTAATCGAAATTTATGAAAGTCGATCCCTAATCGAAATTTGTGAATGTCGATCCCTAATCGAAATTTGTGACAGTCGATTCCTAATCGAAATTTGTGACAGTCGATCCCTAATCGAAATTTGTGAAATTCGATCCCATGTGCACATAACTAAATATGCTAAAAACAACATATGTTTTACTATCAGTATTAGCAGCTGAACTCCTTAGAAACACATGTGTAAAGTATCAACTATATACAACATCATTTAACATGGTAAATATTGGATACACGTACCTCCTGTCCTCATGTGTTATCCAGGTTTCCACTTCGCCTGATAACTATATCCGGTGTAGTTCCTAAACAGTGGTAAAGGTGCCGCGAGGATGTATGACATATAAATTGTATGTATATTTGCCTCAGTATACTACTAATTCTTGGGATCGCCAGCAAACAAAACATGAGCAAATTCAAAAGAGAGTTGTTAGAGTTATATTTGTTTACTAAAATGTTATAAACAATGATGGTCGGCAAAAAATAAATAGGGACGGTCGGGAAACTGGAAACACAGATACATTGTATATAGAGGATACATGGTCAGTGTGTTAAATATATATACTGTATTTTGGCGAGGGTGAAGAAAGACAGAAGTGGCGAGCTTCTAGCGAGTCACTTTTGTCTTTCTCACCTGAGTGGAAAAAAAGATGCTTATATTTTAAGACACTGACCATGACACAGTATTCAATCTATCCTACAACACTGATTGAAAACTTCAATAATTTTGTTGTTCATTTCTGTTTACCTGACGTTGACGTGTTACGTTGAATTTTGCCTGATGACGTACGCCGAATAATTTGCTCCGCGCAAAAAGATAGTTCCAAACATTTGGATATTTCTTTTGCAAACTATTAAAAGACGCATGTTCAGATTTCTATCATTACAATCGAAACGTTTAATTTATCGGCAGGATATGACTTCAGACATTTTGTTTTCATTTTTTCTACCCCAACATACACCCCTTTATCAGATAACAAGCTAGAGAGACAAGAAGCATCCAACGTGTATATTTGCATTATCTATAAACCATACTCACTGGATTCTTCCGGATTTCCGTTTAGACACTGGACAAATACACCATGTCTGACCGGAGTACCGTTTAAGCTATTAACATATTCCTTGGGGCTAACATTACGATAAATGGGTCCTTCCTGTGACGTTGGCCATGGATAATCGAATTTCTGTAAATCCCATATGTCTGAAAATAAAATGTTTTTTTTTTGACATTGTTATTGGCTATATACTACTTCACTATTGTTGACTTAGGATGTAGTGTTATCTCACTGGAACGCCAAATAAAACTTAAAGTGACTAAATGGTTAGAGTTCCTTATTTTTCGAATGCTTTTGATTTCTTTAGACCCTTCAAAAAGTATAGCATACTCTAAGAGATATTGATAAAGATTATCAGCTTCAAACTATCGCTAGTCGACACCCACTGTTGTGTCTACCTCCCATCTCTGTTTTGATATTATGTCTTAATATATATAATTATGTTATTAGCCAAAACTTAATTTGCCAGCCATGTTTCAATTCTTTCTTTGTAAAATGACTCTTGTTTCACAATATACGCGTGACAGAGCGAAATAAATGAATTTGAATCAATCTGAATCTAAAACTGTATGCGCAAAGACATTGTTTACACTCTCTAAACGATAATGATACGAATTAGAGTTGGGTCGCTTATGATTGTTTTTATTATGCAAACTTTAAAAATCATAATTTATAGAAAGTACCCAATTTTTAACAGTATTTTAAATGTTATAATGCTTTTTTTCATCAGTTTTGAATTTAATATCTCACATTTCTAGTCCCTTTGAAACATCATAGTTTTGCCTTGTTTTGTTTTAAGTATTGATTTCTTTTCTTTAAAAGATGTTTTTCTTTGTCGAAAGAAATGTTCCATGTCATTGAGTTCTATATTCCTTGACTCTCTATATGGCGATGTTGAGTAGTTTTACCCTTTTTTAACTTCACCTATATTTGAAAATGCCCAGACATTGAATGGCTAATGAGACAATACAAATACGTAACAAGGCATCACAAACGGACAGCCGTGAGAGTGCTGATGATGATTTTATAAAACTGGAAACGATAACCTATCTAAGCGCTGTCAAAGATTTTCTATAAATAGTATCAGCGGTAACCTTGACCTTGACCTTGACCCTAAAGCCCTCAAACTCAATGTTTTCCGAACTGTCATGGTCGCTTATATACATGTTTGTGTAAGTTTTATCACAACTCCCACAAGGAATGTAATCATTATAATGATCACGAGAATTATTTTAAAACAGTAGCAATGACTTTGGCCAACCCTGAAACTGGTATATACCCGAGGTATCATAATCATGTAAAATATATGAAGTGAGCAACGACACGTGCGGAAATATTGGTCCTACATCACATCCGACCAACAGACCCAATGGGATAATAAAAAAAGTGATATTATAAAATTGACAAAGAAAATTATTTGAACTCGTGAGAGTACAATGGCATTTAATGTTAAAATCCAAAATTATTATCATTTGCGTTAAAATAGTTATACGTTTTACGTCTATATATGTGTCATTAAACATTTTGATTAGAATTATAAATAGCACGTTGGTACACGTAAACAATCAGAAGATAAGTCTGACAAGAAGGGAGTGCACGAATACATTAACAACAATACGCTACACAAGTTGATTTTCTGTCATGGTCCGACGAAAGTTTTAATAGATATGCATAAAAACAAAAGCAGTATGAAGGGAAATAACTCGAGAAGACAAACTATGTTTACTTCGGTCAAAGTCCTGCTGTATACGTTGTTATAAAGAAAATTAACGTGGCCGTTGTATCACTGATAAACATGATGATAATAATCATGCTGCTGATGCTGACATACATGTGATTATTTCACGTGTCACTTAACTGTATCAATAGTCTACTATATAGATCTATAATTTGGAAAACGTACGTGATTAAGATCGACCTACATCTTGACAACTTTAGCTCAATGATAAATCAGGAAGTTTTTTACCTAACATATAAACAAAGAGGTAAATGATATTTGTTGTTGTAGTCATAGCGTGTATACACAGTACCTCTCCCACTGTTATAATCATTGACACTTACGAAAGTGGCTATCCACATATCCCTTCTGCCCACCGATGTCCGAGGCAGCCATGTTTGTGTTGTTATCGCTTGACCTCATTGAATATGTGACTATAGCGTGGATTGAAATGATGCTAGCCGTGACACGACACTTGATATAACTATTTGTTTTCGTTCCACTTGATAAACATGTATATGTAGGTATATGTAAGAAATGAGTTACTGTCAGTGTTACATGATAACCGTACGGCGGACGTCACCATTGTATTTATATGGTGGCCGCCAGATCAAATGTTTCACCGAGGCCTAAGTGGCCTTCAAGAGATAAACACATTCATAATGTAATAACTCTTGGTGGCCCGAATATAAGTACGCCAGGAGTCTTGGAGTAACCAGGGAAAAACCATGTGTCCGTTTGGGAATCGAGCCACTGACGGTTAGGTGAAAGGCGAGTGCGTTACAACTGCGCCACCCTGGGTCTTGTCCCTTTGTTACGAACTTTTGGGTTTTCGGTGGTGAAACAATTGTCACAGTGGTTTGGAATATATGGAGTCTCGCCCCAGAAGCCCGGGGTGGGGGGTTATTTTCTGATACTATGAAATTGACAAAATATATTACATGTTTTGATTCATTGTTTTATGTTCAGTTCTAAAATGGGTCATCTTTAAAAAGGGAGAGAATCGTGGTCATTATTTTAACCATGAGCCTTCTTCATCCAGGTGAGCGGTACAGAAGCTGAGTCTCTTGATAACAGGTGTAATTAATTGAAATAGAATCTCAGATATATCACGCCCGTTAAAGTATGATGATAAACTTCGTTTTCAAGTCTCCTACATTATGGAACAAAAATTGGAATATGGAACAGATTGTTAAATTTACTGAAACATCGACTCACAGTTGCGGAAATATGAGTTAACCAACAACCATACATGTAGTTTTCATTAACATTGACATTCAACATAGCGGAACATAATTTGGACGTGTTTTTATTTTTACACAACGATGAAATAATGTGCAATGTGCAAAACAATTAATATATATGTACCTGGTTATTGGTCCAGAACCGTATAGATATGATCGTTATCTTGTTTTTTGCAAAATAACGTTACTCTTTACATACACAGAAATACCCAGCAACTGAAAAGTGAAATCAATTGAGTATATCCACCAGTAGTTAGTCAATATTATATTATTACTGAGTGTATTTACTGGATACATATAAAATAAGTAGTACAACACTGAAGGTCATATCAGTATTTACAGTTTACAGATGACATTGATGGACGAATGAAAAGGACAAATTTAATGAAAGAGCGACAGTTCAGGCTGTTATCATTTATTTACGAAAAGTGTTACTTCTACATAGATATGTCCAATATTGTTAATTACTGCTGGTGTGATGTTAACCTACTGGTGTGATGTTAACCTACTGGTGTGATGTTAACCTACTAGTGTGGTGTGATGTTAACCTACTGGTGTGGTGTTAACCTACTGGTGTGGTGTGATGTTAACCTACTGGTGTGGTGTGATGTTAACCTACTGGTGTGGTGTGATGTTAACCTACTGGTGTGGTGTGATGTTAACCTACTGGTGTGATGTTAACCTACTGGTGTGGTGTGATGTTAACCTACTGGTGTGGTGTGATGTTAACCTACTGGTGTGATGTTAACCTACTGGTGTGGTGTGATGTTAACCTACTGGTGTGGTGTGATGTTAACCTACTGGTGTGGTGTGATGTTAACCTACTGGTGTGATGTTAACCTACTGGTGTGGTGTTAACCTACTGGTGTGATGTTAACCTACTGGTGTGGTGTTAACCTACTGGTGTGATGTTAACCTACTGGTGTGGTGTGATGTTAACCTACTGGTGTGATGTTAACCTACTGGTGTGATGTTAACCTACTGGTGTGGTGTTAACCTACTGGTGTGATGTTAACCTGCTGGTGTGATGTTAACCTACTGGTGTGATGTTAACCTACTGGTGTGATGTTAACCTACTGGTGTGATGTTAACCTACTGGTGTGATGTGATGTTAACCTACTGGTGTGGTGTTAACCTACTGGTGTGGTGTGATGTTAACCTACTGGTGTGATGTTAACCTACTGGTGTGATGTTAACCTACTGGTGTGGTGTGATGTTAACCTACTGGTGTGGTGTGATGTTAACCTACTGGTGTGATGTTAACCTACTGGTGTGGTGTGATGTTAACCTACTGGTGTGGTGTGATGTTAACCTACTGGTGTGGTGTGATGTTAACCTACTGGTGTGGTGTGATGTTAACCTACTGGTGTGATGTTAACCTACTGGTGTGGTGTGATGTTAACCTACTGGTGTGATGTTAACCTACTGGTGTGGTGTGATGTTAACCTACTGGTGTGGTGTGATGTTAACCTACTGGTGTGATGTTAACCTACTGGTGTGGTGTGATGTTAACCTACTGGTGTGATGTTAACCTACTGGTGTGGTGTGATGTTAACCTACTGGTGTGATGTTAACCTACTGGTGTGATGTTAACCTACTGGTGTGGTGTTAACCTACTGGTGTGGTGTGATGTTAACCTACTGGTGTGATGTTAACCTACTGGTGTGGTGTGATGTTAACCAACTGGTGTGATGTTAACCTACTGGTGTGGTGTGATGTTAACCTACTGGTGTGATGTTAACCTACTGGTGTGGTGTGATGTTAACCTACTGGTGTGATGTTAACCTACTGGTGTGGTGTGATGTTAACCTACTGGTGTGATGTTAACCTACTGGTGTGGTGTGATGTTAACCTACTGGTGTGATGTTAACCTACTGGTGTGGTGTGATGTTAACCTACTGGTGTGATGTTAACCTACTGGTGTGGTGTGATGTTAACCTACTGGTGTGATGTTAACCTACTGGTGTGGTGTGATGTTAACGTTAACCTACTGGTGTGGTGTGATGTTAACGTTAACCTACTGGTGTGGTGTGATGTTACCCTACTGGTGTAACGTGATGTTAACGTTAACCTACTGGTGTGGTGTGATGTTACCCTACTGGTGTAACGTGATGTTAACGTTAACCTACTGATGTGTTGTAATGTTCACGTTAGCCTACTTGTGTGGTGTGGTGTTAACGTTAACCTACTGGTATGGTGTGATGTTAACCTACTGGTGTGGTGTGATGTTAACGTTACCCTACTGGTGTGGTGTGATGTTAACCTACTGGTATGGTGTGATGTTAACGTTAACCTACTGGTGTGGTGTGATGTTAACGTTAACCTACTGGTGTGGTGTGATGCTAACGTTAACCTACTGGTGTGGTGTGATGTTAACGTTAACCTACTGGTGTGATGTGATGTTGATGTTAACCTACTGGTGTGGTGTGATGTTAACGTTAACCTACTGTTGTGGTGTGAGGTAAACCTACTGGTATGGTGTGATGTTAACGTTAACCTACTGGTGTGGTGTGATGTTAACGATAACCTACTGGTGTGGTGTGATGTTAACGTTAACCTACTGGTGTGGTGTGATGTTAACGTTAACCTACTGGTGTGGTGTGATGTTAACGTTAACCTACTGGTGTGGTGTGATGTTCACGTTAACCTACTGGTGTGGTGTGATGTTCACGTTAAACTACTGGTGTGGTGTGATGTTAACGTTAACCTACTGGTGTAGTGTGGTGTGATGTTAACCTACTCGTGTGATGTGGTGTTGACGTTAACCTACTGGTATAGTGTGGTGTGATGTTAACGTTAACCTACTGGTGTGGTGTGGTGTGATGTTAACCTACTGGTGTGATGTGGTGTTGACGTTAACCTACTGGTTTGATGTGGTGTTAACGTTAACCTACTGGTGTGGTGTGATGTTAACGTTACCCTACTGGTGTGGTTTGATGTTAACCTACTGGTATGGTGTGATGTTAACGTTAACCTACTGGTGTGGTGTGATGCTAACGTTAACCTGCTGGTGTGGTGTGATGTTAACGTTAACCTACTGGTGTGATGTGATGTTGATGTTAACCTACTGGTGTGGTGTGATGTTAACCTACTGGTATGGTGTGATGTTAACGTTAACCTACTGTTGTGGTGTGAGGTTAACCTACTGGTATGGTGTGATGTTAACGTTAACCTACTGGTGTGGTGTGATGTTAACGTTAACCTACTGGTGTGGTGTGATGTTAACGTTAACCTACTGGTGTGGTGTGATGTTAACGTTAACCTACTGGTGTGGTGTGATGTTAACGTTAACCTACTGGTGTGGTGTGATGTTCACGTTAACCTACTGGTGTGGTGTGATGTTCACGTTAAACTACTGGTGTGGTGTGATGTTAACGTTAACCTACTGGTGTAGTGTGGTGTGATGTTAACCTACTGGTGTGGCGTCATGTTGACGTTAACCTACTGGTATGGTGTGATGTGGTGTTAACGTTAACCTACTGGTGTGGCGTCATGTTGACGTTAACCTACTGGTGTGGTGTGGTGTGATGTTAACCTACTGGTGTGATGTGGTGTTGACGTTAACCTACTGGTTTGATGTGGTGTTAACGTTAACCTACTGGTGTGATGTGGTGTTGACGTTAACCTACTGGTGTGATGTGGTGTTGACGTTAACCTACTGGTGTGATGTGGTGTTAACGTTAACCTACTGGTGTGATGTGGTGTTAACGTTAACCTACTGGTGTGATGTGGTGTTAACGTTAACCTACTGGTGTGATGTGGTGTTAACGTTAACCTACTGGTGTGATGTGGTGTTAACGTTAACCTACTGGTGTGGCGTCATGTTGACGTGAACTTGTTTATGGAGTGTAACTCGTTTGGTATGATGAGCGTGTAATTTGGTATAATAAGCAGATATGACCGCAGAACGGCGCTTCTGGAGCAACTGGTGAGTAGATAGGCCACGATGTCTTACATATAAATATAAGAATGCAAGATTCTAGTGAATATAGCGTTTTGGTGATAAAATATTTGTTGTTTCCATATTTACTGACATTTGTTTGGTTTAACAGATTACACAACATTCTGAGACAAATGTACCCCCACATCGGCTCCCATGACGTTTTCAGCAGAGCATGCACTTTAGGTCAATTTAAGCATCAGTATGACAAACACAACAACTTATTGTCACTTTAGAATCAGTGGTTATTCATGTTTCTGTCGTATTTTTATTTGTTTTTATCTTCGGTACAGTTCATTTTATTGTGGTGTACACGACCTTCGGTATGCGCAGTTATGTACACAACCAGACTGGGTATAATGTATTTTGAGTATCTGCGACGACAGTAGAAATCACCGTAGGTACTATTATTACAACGAAATTCAGAATTGTTTTTGGACGACGTGTGTGAAAATTTTACAAAAAAATATGACATAACTAGGAAGTGAGTACCAACTAAAACGTTTACGATACGACTTAATTTCAAATGTTGGTTTAAGTCTGACTTGCGACGTAAAATAAGGAAAAGAGACATGCTATTTAAGAAAGCGTAGATCAAATCGTTTTGGGAAACCCAACCATTTAAAAAAAACCACACAACACCATCATACGAATAATCTAAAGAAACTAACGAAAAAATATATATGCGAACATAATTGATATTTTAAATCAATACTTTTAAATCGGTACTCTGATGCGAGTGTCCGCAGATTACATTAAAAAAATCTTCAGACTCCACCAATACCACAGTTTCAATAAAAAAACGTTACTGACGTCAATAAATCTTCATCAATAAAGTTCTAGGTCAATCACTCCAACAGGCTTCATACTAATGCGTATAATATATACAAAATAAACAATATCTAAATCAAATCAATAGGAATAGGTGGGAGGATCCTGAAACGATTATGTGATTAAAAGTCACGTGATCCCTCACCTGCACGTAGGCGCCCTCTGTCAGCAGAGTGTGCGGCGCACGAGACACGCAGAACGTCGAACACAGCACGGTGAGTGTGATTTTATACCAAGATAGATTATGTACACATCTTTCGTCTCATTTATCAATCAACGGTAACAATTTAGGTGCTAATAGGTTTGTTTACAATACCAAAATATTGAGCAAAGCATCGCCATTCAACTATCAACATATTGTCTCTCCCCCTCTAACCCCTCCACCGGAATTACGTGACATCACGGACGAAGAAGTGTATGTCACAGTCCTGTTGATTATTATTTTGGCTAAACTGTGACCGATTTTAACTTTCTACAATATCAAACATCTGACTGAAGGTGATATCAACTTTTTTCACAACCTTATTTGTAATTTGACTTACATATTGACTTCTGCGAGATATTGAAGTGGACAAGTACTCTTCGTGATTTAGCTGTAACATATACATCGGAGCAATTCAACATTAATCTTCAAAACTTTTATTTGGCATATCAGGATTCATAAACACTAGACATTTTTCCTTAATTATTTTGGGGTGTGACGAGCTAAAGTATTTAGACGGGGATTATGGGCTCTGATCGATGGAATTCAATGGGTTTTTTTTTTTTTTTGGGGGGGGGGGGAGTTAGTACTGTGACTATATCTCCGTTTGTAGCATGTGTTTTGGACAGTGGTATTCCTACTGCTCGAATATTTCAAACATGTTACAAGCTGTCACAATAGCTATTTGGTCTGAAGCATTTTTGGTGAAGAGGGAATCAATCTAGACATTAGTTCTCTGGGCCCCTGGAGCGAGAGGGCCAGGCCCAATAGGAGAAATAGAGTAAGTTAATCAAAATCCTACTCCTTCTGTAAGTATGATTGAATTTTGCCCAAATTTTGTCTGACGCATTCTCTGTTGAAGGGGAATCAATCCTGTTTATTGTTTACTGACAAAAACCAAAGGCCGCACGCCCTGTATGTACACATACATAATCATATACAATATACAAGTGACAGAATGGAGGATGGATATAATGGCATACGCAATCAAATTGACAATTTAGTGTTAACAATATTATCTACTGGAAACAGTCAACATTTTGATCATCTAATACATCTACTATTTATGTATTTGTAACATTTCTTAAATCTATTGAGTTGTTGTTTATAGTTTTCCTCTGTTAGTAACTTAATAAGTTTGTACACTGATGGGTGATTATAAAAATATCTTTTTACATATTTTTTCCTGGGGTTAGAATATAAAGGACAGAGTAACAGGAAATAACATGTAAAGACATTAGGTCTCGGCCCCCGGGAGCGGGAGGGCGGACCCATGGCGGGGAGGGCGGACCCATGGCGGGGAGGGCGGGGGGGGGGGGGGGGGCGGGGCGGGCCCATGGCGGGGAGGGCGGAGAGGGCGGGCCCATGGCGGGAGGGCGGGCCCATGGCGGGAGGGCGGGGGAGGGCGGGAGGGCGGGGGAGGGCGGGAGGGCGGGGGAGGGCGGGCCCAATAGGGGAAATACGGGAGGGCGGGCCCAATAGGGGAAATACGGGAGGCGGGCCCAATAGGGGAAATACGGGAGGGCGGGGAGGGCGGGCCCAATAGGGGAAATACGGGAGGGCGGGAGGGCGGGCCCAATAGGGGAAATACGGGAGGCGGGCCCAATAGGGGAAATACGGGAGGCGGGCCCAATAGGGGGGCGGCGGGCCCAATAGGGGAAATACGGGAGGGCGGGCCGGGAGGGCGGGCCCAATAGGGGAAATACGGGAGGGCGGGCGGGCCCAATAGGGGAAATACGGGAGGGCGGGAGGGCGGGGAGGGCGGGCCCAAGAGGGGAAATACGGGAGGGCGGGCCCAATAGGGGAAATACGGGAGGCGGGCCCAATAGGGGAAATACGGGAGGGCGGGCCCAATAGGGGAAATACGGGAGGGCGGGCCGGGAGGGCGGGCGGGAGGGCGGGCCCAATAGGGGAAATACGGGAGGGCGGGCGGGCCCAATAGGGGAAATACGGGAGGACGGGCCCAATAGGGGAAATACGGGAGGACGGGGGCGGGCCCAATAGGGGAAATAGAGTAAATTCTTTAAAATTCTATTCTTGTATGAATGTGAAGGGAAATCAATTTTATTTGAATGGTTGGTATTTGCCCCTTGGGGCCAGATGGGAGGGCCAAAGGTGGAAAAAAGGTGCAAATTCTTTAAAATCCAACTTCTTGAGGGATGATTGGGTTTAACCCAAATTTAGTCTGAAGCATTGTTGAGAGAAGAGAAATCAATGTTATATATACGATGAATCTTGATCCCCTGGGACGGGACAAGCAGGACCCAATAAGAAATTCGTTTCAGTCCTTCTTCTGTAGGAATGGGAAGATTCGGTCTTAATTTGGTATGAAGCATGATGGTTTTGTTGCGTTGTGTGCTTATATATTTGGAATTCCATTAGTTTTGATTAATCAGTTTCGGCCAAGCAAACCCAGTGTAATAAGGTAATACAACTGCATCTCATTAGGGTATATGTTACAAGGTACTGCCACGAGGGGATGACACTGACGTTCGTCGGCGAGACAAAGGCTAGTGATAGGAGTCGCGACGAAAGACACCCAGTGACCAACCAAGGTGTCTCCACTAATATTTATTGACAAACAACAAAGTTAATCCAGTGTCTAAATTTCTTGACGAATTTTACTCAAACATTTGTCTATTATGAGAATATCTTAATATGCTTCACTATTTTTATTTACAGACTTCATAATATGGCGTTGGTACAACTGGTGTGTCTGGCTTCACTCTGTATGACGTCATTATGGGGCGTGGTTCAGACAGTCAAAATCCGTTCCTACAATGTTGCCCTCCTCAATCTAATAGCCCACTACGAAGACCGGAAACCGAACGTAATACAGGCATTACAGTCTCAGGACTATGACGTCATGTGTCTACAGGAAGTGCGTATTACATAAACAATACACAATATATCATAAGGGTTTGCATTTTAGTCTCGAAACAAAAATGATATTCGTAGATTTACTTATTTACTTATGTTTACTTATGTTTACATATGTTGTATCCGGCTGTAGGACCATACTGGTCCTCTATAGGCAGTTCTGATTACAAGTAATTATATCTAGTCCACGATCCTTCCAGTGACAGGTCCATACTCTATATTGAAATTATATTTCATTGGATGGTTTTTCCATAATTTGTCAAGCCTGTTTTCTAATCGATAAGTATTTGACGATCTTATCGCGTGTTCCGCCAGACGGTTCCATGTATCAATTACTCGAAAGGTGAAATTATACGTCTGTAAGTCTTTCTTGAAATGACCTTTCAGAAATTTCAACGAATTCCCCCTGGTATTTGCATTGTCGTTCAGATGCAACAGACCAGATATTTCTCGCTTAGTATTTTAAAAACACTTGTTGCATCTATAGTTGAAGCTTACCAACCACAACGTGTGCATTTATCAATTTTAAAGCATCTCGTCATAATTTATGCCGTATTTAAATGCGCGATGTAGCATGTTTTCAAATGATAAATAAAAACATCCAATAAATCATTTTTGAACTATTTTTTTGACGTGACGTCAATGACGACCAATTATCATTATTATCATCATCAAAGCTGTGGTGCACGTTACCCTAATGTGAATACAATTCGAAGCACATAAAAAATCCCAACCTTATTTACACCAAATTACACGACATATAGAATGACATAAGTCACAGTTGTCGTGTTGTGTGATATCTTGGTCATTACATACAGTGCCTCTTCACTGAAATTACAGAGTTGATACTCCGATATTTAAAATTCATTATTGTTATCTATTGTCCGATTTCAGGTGTGGTACGGAAGTGATGTTTCTAGGATACGTCAGACTTTAGGCAGTAGTATTTCTGTGCACACAGCACCTTTGTACCAGGAGACAATGTTTTGGGACTGGATTAACGCTCCTCCGTGTCACAAAGCAGCATTTACTGTTGCGTGTATATTTATACATTGTTCATCAATAACCAGCAAGGCAGCTCTCACAAACTGTTCTGTAGGATGTGGAATGATGTCAGAAAGTCAGGCTTGTATTTCCTGTCTCGTCGTTTCCGGTAAGGGGGCGCTGCGCTGCTTTGACTACACGAGGCGAGAGGCTATGAATGTTCCCGGAGTTGTACTTCTGAGTAAAAAGAAAGTGAATTCTGTCAGATCGGTTTTCTTTGAACCAAATGTGAAGCAAATTTTACGACGGGCATACATCGAAGCGGAGGTACGATGTTTTTGTGTTTTTTTTTATTTTTGTAATTGATCCCGCACTATGACCGATCTTTTTTTGATACAGGTTTTATGACGCATTGTTTAGGACGGAAAACTTTTACTTTACAAAGACAAATACGCCATTAAAAAGGGGAAACAAATCTGCATAAATATAATTTGCCAACGACTGGTGTTTTAAGCCCACCTCCAGCAGATTGTTGGCGATTTAATTCGCCCTACGTCTGTAAATAATTCTTGTGATAGCTATTTCTTTCTCAAATTCCATATACTTGTTCCCCTTGGTTCCCGATTGTGGTTGTTTTTTCGGGACTGAAAAAATAAATGGCTGACAGGCGACTGTAATACTGATATGGCCCGTGTGCGGGATCCACCCCACAGTTGAACTCGTCAACAAAACACAACATCATTGGAGGACTCCATACCATGCGGTCTCTTTTATTATCTCTCGCGCATGTCAGCATCACCCCGATAACACAGATAGTTCCCGCCCTTCAACTCACTCGCTATAATATATGCTCTCCTACACTACATTCCTCCCTCGTTTAGAATTGAAAAACAACCTTAATTTTTTTTTTATCCACCCATGGTTAGAATTGTGACGTATATCAAACATTAAATAAAGTTTGATTCACATGACTAGAATCAATAATCATCTTAAAAATATCTGAACATAACTTCCTTCTGGTAAAACATGAAACATTTTAAACAAATTAGGTATTTCGACATACTGGTCTATAAGACTGTCCAATGTATAGAACATTCACAATAATCTCACAGTGTTATTTAACCAACAACATTGTATTTACTGGGCATTTTCCGATTCGATCTCTGTGGACGACCAACATCAGCATTTATCGGCTCCAGACCCATTTCATTTGGTTCAACACTTTGGCCTAAACTCTGACCTTGCGTTTTACCTTGACTTTGACCTTGACAAGTATCAGTTGGAGGATCAAGATCAGCACCTACTTCTGGATTAGAATCCCGATTGTGCCTTTTTGCTGGAGAATTAGGAGCATGAATTTTTTAAATGCGTAACATTTCGCTTATATACCTTCCCTCCACCTGATTCAACAGCAACACCTGACACTTGGAAAATCTCATGTTGAAATATATAAATGTTCAAACTTTGAAGTTTCTCAATTTTTTTTCTCCAGTTTGTCCCACAAATTGTAAGGTATCCTTCTTAACGGTTGTGCAACAGGTCTGACTTTGGGATCGAGTGATATTTCTTGAGAAATGTTTATCAGAACTTTGTCAAATGTCATGCGTAAGTTCCTCTTGTTCTTTGGTTGGGCCCTTTAGATTTTGGGACATATCAGAAAAACAAAATGGTTGACAGGTGGCCATCTTAGATTTTGACGAAGAAAGATTTTTTATGGTTGTTTCTTTTGAAACACTTTCATACAATTTGATATGTAGATTGCCCTTGGTCTCCAGTTGAGCCAAAATAGAGACAAGACACAAATTAATGAGCATTCAATAGAACGACATTATGAGCTCTCCCTAATACAGCCGTCATGTCTGATTTTGGATTTCTCCAGCATGAATGGGCTTAACATAAACTGATGACTTCTTCATTCTAGATTGAAGGAGTAGGGACAGTCATCTGCAGCCATACAGCCTCTAATATTGGGGACGAGTACTATGAACGTAGGTATTATATATGTAGAACATATGGCAGTGTACATAAAGCTATCCGAATAAAACCTTATACTACGTTACTATTGGTATTAAATGTGAGATAAGTATTTATCCTTATTACATATAGTTCAACACAACTTGGACTGGGACAAATGGAATTATACTTGTACAACTGTTGAATATATGTATTGCTGAAAAATCTAAATTAATATCCGATCCGAGAAAAGTTTTGAATGGTTTTGTAACACGAAGCACGTACATGTACTGTTGAACACTTCATTATTCCCATTGTCTCGTTTCAGCAAACCTCCGTGGTGTGTACTCGAGCTGGGAGGAGCAAAATCTCGCAGATTCTCGCAAACTAACGGAAGCCGCTCGCCTGTCGTATAAGCCACTGATCATGGGGGATCTTAATACTAGTCCAAGTATTCCTGTTCACAACGTCACCGCCGACTTTGAGGGTAAAACCCTTAATGTACTTTATATAGCACTGTTAAAATTTTAATGACGTAATATTAACAAGGGTGAGATGGTGTTCGGTTTCTCAAACAAAAGCTTTTGAATCCAATATGTATTTGAATGGTTTCATATTTTTGATGTTCTAAATAGTTTAAGTTCTGTGTAAACCAGATGGGAGTACATCAGACTACGAGCGCCCATCTGACCAAGCGTAGGAATACACATTCGATGGTCAGGTCCTTCATTAAAATAAGTAACATTACAAAGCTATCAAATTGCAACAGAACAAATTAACTGCCAAACATGAGATTTTTGCCCCCTCCCAAGAACTTTCAAGATTACCAAGGTTGTCAATTTCGTCTGCTAGACATCGATCTGACAGTCCAAACATACAAATATACATCTAAATCCATTCAAAGTCTCATAAGAATTTGCAGCTTGAAATCTAAAATGAATACAAAATATAGGTCAGCGTTCCTCGATCCTGATGTTAAATACACACTTCAAACTTCATCAGAGAGGTTTGTTATTGTGCTTGTAGATAAGGCGTCCAATAACTTGATTCTTGTCTGCAGACTTCATTACATTACAAAAAGAACTATGCTTACTTGATCAGGAAAGAAACCTCTCATATACATTATGCAATCTTTCCAACGAAGAAATACTAGCTAAGTATGCTTCGATATTACAATAATTTAGATAGCCTATTAATGATAAGGATATGGACCTCCTCCGTTTATATTGGATTCCTAAACTACTCAAGAATCCATAGTCAGTTCACGACTTCTTTGGTGTTTCCATTGTCTAGAGGGTTGTTTGGCCTCTGGAATGAAATGATGGATATGCCTCTAAAAGGTTCAGATTAGTCCGCCTGGTGTGCTTCTGATCAACTGTCAAAAGTCTTGGTACCCAACGGGCTGAGAGTTTCTCATTGCAAGATCTGCCGTAAGAATGGAATAGTCTCTTTCCTGTGAAATCCTAACTGTACTGGCCATATATCGCCAGTCAGTCATATAAACAATATTATGAACTTTATTGACCATTTCTGGGGTTGTAACAGTGACGCATCTTCCAGGACGAGCGTCATCCCCAAGGCTCTGCCTTGCAACACTTAACTTTCACCACCCACCTGTTCAGTGTATATATGAAAGAGCATCATTCCCTGGTGTTGCATGGATATCCTCAGGTCATATCCTTGCTGACGTCAGTATTTAGTTAAGCGCAATGGCTTCATATCAGCTATCTGGTAACAGTTTATTATTTAATTGTTTTAAGGGAAAATATTTAGATCCAGCTTAAAAAAATTAAAACGTTACTTTAGATACGCTCATTACATTTTTTCTGCCTAAGACGGAATGTGGAGTTTCCAAAATTGCCGCTACCAACTAGATATACTGTAAATGTATGTATACACTTGTGTTGATTTAGAAAGTCGTGTGATATAACGTTAATGAAGGGCCGTAGCGCCGCGCCTACCTACCACCAGGTGAAGGTTCCACACTGCCTTCCCGTAGTGGTTTGTGTTCCCCTGGAAGAAATAATTTTGTTCTTGTGTGATTTTCAACTACATCTATTATTGTAAAAATTGTCATTCATTTCTCAAAAGACTCCAGTCTAAAGGTGATTGAATTTTAAACTCCTATTGTCACAATTTTGTTCGAAACGGTCCCTCACGTGTTCTTAGCCAATCAAAACGCTAATTTCAACAATTGATGATGTAGAAGCTCCGCCTGCTTTCTGGTCTAGTTGTCGATAGTTTCAGGCCAAGATGTAGGTCGAGGCATATGAAAAAAGCTTTGCGTGGATTATCTAAATTGTTGTTTTATCGATTCCTACTAAATATACCTGAAATTCTTTATGTATATCTATAAATATTAAAGGTGTTTGTTCACTAAAGTAGATCGATAAAAATCGGACATCGTGGACAGACATCGAGATGTTTCTTTCATATGTAGACTGGAATCTGTGTATTATATCCAGTAGAGGTAGGAGACAATACCATGTGGCATTTCATCTTATTCAGTTGCGATATTACTAACTGAAGTAGGTCCCTGGATTGAGAATGTTACTTTCTGTAACGACTTGATCAACATCCTCAAATTACCGACAAACTTACTTAAAGCGGAGAAAAGTAATACGACCATGAAACTGGTCATTACAAATAGGTTACGTCACCGTTAGTGAAAATGTTTCTTATTAGCTCTCCAGAGACTCGAGACGTACGTGTTTCATACAATCTAAAGGAATTCGTGCGAAATTATTTTTTTATTTTCTAAAGAAATTTTCAATTCTCGTATTTTAAAATTTTAAACTAATCTACTACTAAGATTATTTTACAAACTACTATGAACTACACAAACCGTCTTAGTTATATGGTATAAATTACGCATTCCTTTGTAGATGCCTACAACCATTTCCTGTCCGAGGGCTTCGTGTCGCCGTACGTCACTATGGTGGGAAAATGTACTTACTGTCTTCAGAATCCTCTTACACATGGATCTAATCATAGTCACGTGTTAGATCACGTGTTTGTACGAGATCATGCAGTCCTCAGTGCAAAGGTATTGTTTCTATATAATAGAATTTTATGGGTTTTTTTTTCATTTTTTTTGTTTTGTTTTGTTTGTTTCAGTCTAATAAGTGTATTGCCATGACGTCAGTTCTGAGCTATGACATCGATAGGCTACCATGACGTCAGTTCTGAGCTATGACATCGATAGGCTACCATGACGTCAGTCCTGAACTATGACATCACTAAATTAACAAGACATGAAGTCCTGAACTATGATGCAATTCCTTAAGTGACATCTCTATGGAACAGAATATGATATTAACTCCAATATACACAGTTTGTTTTGTTTGTTTCAGCGGCTATACGTTGAAGACATTCCTAATCTAAATTTTCCAATGTCGGATCACTATGGAATTGAGGTTGAGGTTGCCTCAGGTTATCTGTGAACGAGGCTGGTTATATTTGGACAAGACTGGTTGTTATCATGACTTTTTCACCAACATGGAATGAAGTACAGCTATTCATTATATCTATATACATGTAACTTTACACTGCACGTGATATTCTGGTACATTTTGAATATATCTTATATCTACCCTTGAATCATTTTGTTTTTTTGCATTCTCATCTATTCATATACCTATATGTACTGATAGGGTTGAAATTAAATTTTCCTATATATTTAATGACCGTTGATGGTGCTTGTTTTTTTTTAATACAATATTTTCTAAGGAAGTTCGATGTGATGTTCGTCTCTGTTTATTTGTCGGTATGTTAACAGTTTTGTTTGATATCAATATTGTGTGCAGTGGTTTACATAAATATGTGATGACTGAGCAATATCGCAAAACTAAAGGAACTGGGATTGTCATGTGACCAGCAATCACGGTAAACTAAGTAGTGTACCGTTAAGTCAGATTTGGTCGGTGTCCGCGTCACAGGAAGCTGCATGGGTCGTGGTCCGTCGTCACAAGAAGTTACGACGTGGTCCAATGTCACAGAAAATTACGAGGAGGTCCGTCGTCACAGGAAGCTGCATGGGTCGTGGTCCGTCGTCACAGGAAGTTACGACGTGGTCCAATGTCACAGAAAATTACGAGGAGGTCCACCGTCACAGGAAGCTGCATGGGTCGTGATCCGCTGTTACAGAAGTGAACTCGTGATCCGCCGTCACAGGAAGCTGCATGGGTCGTGATCCGCTGTTACAGAAGTGAACTCGTGGTCCGCCGTCACAGGAAGCTGCATGGGTAGTGATCCGCTGTTACAGAAGTATTGAACTCGTGGTCCGCCGTCACAGGAAGCTGCATGGGTCGTGATCAGCTGTTAAAGAAGTGAACTCGTGGTCCGCCGTCACAGGAAGCTGCATGGGTCGTGAACCGCTGTTACAGAAGTGAACTCGTGGTCCGCCGTCACAGGAAGCTGCATGGATCTTGATTCGCGGATATGGCCCGGAATAACGGGAATTTCACTGTTTTATTATCACTTGATAATTTTAATAACTTTTGAAGACTACACGAGATACATTTAAGTATGGTAGGTGCCACGATCCCAATGGGATTTCGCTTTGATAGTAAACGTCTTAATATTGGAATAAAATTAGACTACGAATATTGATTATGTCGGCGGAAGGCTAGCACGAGCAAAAGTTCATCTAATTATGATAGAAATCTAAAAAGTTTTCACAAAGAAAACCATAACATGCTTTCTGATACATATACCTTTTTAGCATAATGACAATCTAACATTTTCGTGCACAATTCTTAAAACTATTCCCCCTCTCCTGTAGCAAACATCTGAATTAATGGAAACCGTTTCAGAGGTAATATTGACTAACAATGAATGCTTATGTGAATTTCTAATATGTATAAAATGATATGTATGTTCTATCTGTACCCATGTGATTATTATCTAATATGATTGAATATCAGATCCTAACTCCGGTACTCTCCTTAGAACATCTAACAATATCTCATAAGGGGCCATGGTTTAAATTATATCATCACGTCTTGACATGGATATGCGTCACGGAAATATCTTTGACGCAATGAACCGTTTTCAACAACTTCAATCAATGTCAAAAATCAGGCGAGCCGCTCTATGTAAATGGCAAATTAAAAGGGGAGGGGACCGATTTCAGATTTTAAGGGTCCATTGTCCCCTCCAAAATTACCGTTGCTGCTGACCCCACACAACATCTCGAATGCTGGAAATATTTACGTCAAACCAGAACAAAGGGAAGACAAACAGCTCATTAAATCTAAATGGTTCCTCTTAAGGTTATGCGCTTAAAGGTTACATTTGATGACCACTACTTTTGCGAAAACACCGGAACCAAATAGCCATTTTTTTAAAAATGAAGCAGCTTTGTATATTGCAACCAATCACGATTTAGAATCATTAAATGAAATTTCTGGTGTTGATGCAATATCAAAACTAAACAGAAATATATTCAGTTTTCAATTTCGACCTCCACTCCATAGTGATCCGACATCGGGATATCCTGGCCCGGAGTGTTCTGGTCATAGAATCTCTGAAACGGAAGTAGGAAGTAACATGTGACAACATTCTGTCGGCATTGTTTTTAATGTACTCGTATATCCAGACATGTTGGAACTGTTAGGATCAGGCTCAAATTTATGATATGCAGTACTTTTTGTTTTCAAATTCGTTTAAAAGTATATTAATCTCAAGTTTCAACACACGCGACAGAGAGTTATATACAATGCCTTAACCAATATAAAGATATCGTGAACTAGTTATAGATTGGTATTGTGAAAATGTCTGCTATTGTCGATACATAACGTTATACAAATATACATGCTATTTTTAAACACGTATTACCGACATGCAACAGAATCTTACTTTATACTCAAATTCGACAAAACCAGGGTCCGAAGGGGAAAACTGATTGTGAATATTACGATAAAGTCTTGGGTTGAATTTTTTATCAAGTATTTTCAAGCATTGGACCACAAATGTCAAGGAAGTTGCATTGAAAGCTTATCTTTAAAAAAGTTAAAACATTCACATGAATTATTATAAATATGTCTAAACCAGGTTTTTGATGAGGCCAAAAAGAGATAAATTTGTGGATATTAGGAGCATCGACAACTATAAAGAAAAACAAAAATGATTTCTTGGAAAAAAACAGCTTCTTCAAATTCAAAATTCTATAAAACTACGGCAAAAAAGTATGAAAGAAAGATTTACAAGCAAGACACTTGTAAAGGTCCCAGGAGGATTAGTCCAGCTTATCTGGAGGGAAAGCGTCTTCAACGACGCGCGCGCGAGAGAGAGAGAGAGAGAGAGAGAGAGTGAGAGAGAGAGAGAGAGCCAGCCAGCCAGCCGGCCAGCCCAGCTTAATACAACAGAAGTAGAGTAACCCTGATATGGCCGTACTAAGAATGCTAGAAAAAAATCGTGATAAAGGTTTGGTCGGATATCTAGACAAGCCAGCAATAATACACTGGTTGTATATATATATATATATATATATATATATAACGATGAGGTAACCCGGTATCCAATCCTAATCAGAAAGAATCGTGCCCTTAATGATGAGACAATGTAATTGGTTAGTATTATTTTATTTGATAATACAGGTAAGTCATTGCTACAAGAAGTAACACTAAGAAGCCAACCTTTAACTAGATCATTTAACTGGCAATTACTCGCCAGAGACCAAGTGTTGGGTGTAGGATGGACCGATACGCCGTAATTAGCCATGTGTTACGAACAGGTGACTTTTTACTGTGTATGTGTTAACAGATTTCGTAAGAAGACGTGCCGATGTTTTGACAAAAAATAATTTCGAGACAACGAATTACTTTTCCCTTGCTTTACAATTGAATTGACTCAAAAATCACTTCGAATCAACCGAAATTTCGACTCGGTCAACATTCAAGTCTTCAACTTAAATTACAAAATATAGAAGGGAAAAAATCGGGACTTGAAAATTATTTCTACTCAAACGGAAGTTCGACTCTAGCGACTTCGAGACAACGAGTTTCAAATGTATTTAGGTAGAATTTCCTTCATTATCGAGCGCGCATGTTTCTTTCTGCATGCAGGAAATACAATGTTTGCGGAAAAAACAGTTGTCAGATGCCTTATCTGCGGGCAAAATAACATCTTTATCACAGCAAAATTTGCCGTGTTGATTTGATATTTTGAGATCAAGGAATACTGACTTTCGCATTGTTTTCATTTTCGATTTTAAGGAGGTATAAAGGAATAGTTACAGACAACGTATAAGAAGGAAACAGAAGACGTGTTAGATGTCTGAAATTTTACGTCCTCGCAACATGGGGCAGTGACGGACGTTCTTATAGTTTTATCGTACTGAAATATACAGTGGACACTACGTGGCTAGGAGCAGCAAGACCTTCCTCTCTTGGACAGACCAGTGTCAGTACAGTTACTTGATACTATGGCAACTGTTTGATATAATAATCGATTAATATCAATATTAATGACGTCATAGTTACGGACTAACGTCAAGGTAGCGGGACTAACGTTATGGTAAAAAACTAACGTCATGATTACGGTTAACGTTATGGTAACGGGCTAACGTCATAGTTACGAACTAACATCATGGTTACGGTTAACGTCATGATAAGCGACTAATGTCATAGTTACGTACTAATGTCATGGTTACAGACTAACATCATGCTATCAAAACGCACGTCATGGTAAAAGATAAACGTCGTGGTAACACTGCCGTGATGGTAACGGAACAATGGCATGGTAACGAATTAGCATCATATTAACAGGTTAACGTATTGACAGTGATATTGATAGTGTAACAGGCTAGCGCATGGTAACGAACCAACATCATAACTACAGACTTATGACATGGTAAAGCAACAGACAAGCAGCATCTTGATGGAACAGACTGATGGCATGGTCACAGACCGATAGCATGGTAACAGACTAATGGAAAAGTAACGAACAAACGACATGGTCACAGACTAACGGAAATTTTACAAACAAACGCCATGGTATCGGACTGACGGAAAAGTAACAAACGCCATGGTATCGGACTGACGGAAAAGTAACAAACGCCGTGGTATCAGACTAACAGAAAAGTAACAAACGCCGTGGTATCAGACAAACGTAAAAGTAACAAAGAAACGCCGTGGTATCAGACTAACGGAAAAGTAACAAACGCCGTGGTATCCGACTAACGGAAAAGTAACAAACGCCGTGGTATCCGACTAACGGAAAAGTAACAAACGCCATGGTATCGGACTAACGGAAAAGTAACAAACGCCATGGTATCGGACTAATGGAAAAGTAACAAACGCCGTGGTATCAGACTAACGGAAAAGTAACAAACGCCGTGGTATCAGACTAACGGAAAAGTAACAAACGCCGTGGTATCAGACTAACGGAAAAGTAACAAACGCCATGGTATCGGACTAACGGAAAAGTAACAAACGCCATGGTATCGGACTAACGGAAAAGTAACAAACGCCGTGGCATCAGACTAACGGAAAAGTAACAAACGCCGTGGTATCAGACTAACGGAAAAGTAACAAACGCCGTGGTATCAGACTAACGGAAAAGTAACAAACGCCGTGGTATCAGATAAACGTAAAAGTAACAAAGAAACGCCGTGGTATCAGACTAACGGAAAAGTAACAAAGAAACGCCGTGGTATCAGACTAACGGAAAAGTAACAAACGCCGTTGTATCAGATAAACGGAAAAGTAACAAAGAAACGCCGTGGTATCAGACTAACGGAAAAGTAACAAACAACGTGGTCACAGATAACGGAAAAGTAACAAACATCGTGGTCACAGACTAACGGAAAAGTAACAAACAACGTGGTCACAGACTAACGGAAATTTTACAAACAAACGCCATGGTATCGGACTAACGGAAATTTTACAAACAAACGCCATGGTATCGGACTAACGTAAAAGTAACAAACGCCGTGGTATCAGACTAACGGAAAAGTAACAAACGCCGTTGTATCAGATAAACGTAAAAGTAACAAAGAAACGCCGTGGTATCAGACTAACGGAAAAGTAACAAACGCCGTTGTATCAGACTAACGGAAAAGTAACAAACGCCGTGGTATCAGACTAACAGAAAAGTAACAAACGCCGTTGTATCAGATAAACGTAAAAGTAACAAAGAAACGCCGTGGTATCAGACTAACGGAAAAGTAACAAACAACGTGGTCACAGACTAACGGAAAAGTAACAAACAACGTGGTCACAGACTAACGGAAATTTTACAAACAAACGCCATGGTATCGGACTAACGGAAATTTTACAAACAAACGCCATGGTATCGGACTAACGGAAAAGTAACAAACGCCGTGGTATCAGACTAACGGAAAAGTAACAAACGCCGTTGTATCAGATAAACGTAAAAGTAACAAAGAAACGCCGTGGTATCAGACTAACGGAAAAGTAACAAACAACGTGGTCACAGACTAACGGAAAAGTAACAAACAACGTGGTCACAGACTAACGGAAAAGTAACAAACAACGTGGTCACAGACTAACGGAAAAGTAACAAACGCCGTGGTATCGGACTAACGGAAAAGTAACAAACGCCGTGGTATCAGACTAACGGAAATTTTACAAACAAACGCCATGGTATCGGACTGACGGAAAAGTAACAAACAACGTGGTCACAGACTAACGGAAAAGTAACAAACAACGTGGTCACAGACTAACGGAAAAGTAACAAACAAACGCCATGGTATCGGACTAACGGAAAAGTAACAAACGCCGTGGTATCAGACTAACGGAAAAGTAACAAACGCCGTTGTATCAGATAAACGTAAAAGTAACAAAGAAACGCCGTGGTATCAGACTAACGGAAAAGTAACAAACAACGTGGTATCAGACTAACGGAAAAGTAACAAACGCCGTGGTATCAGACTAACGGAAAAGTAACAAACGCCGTTGTATCAGATAAACGTAAAAGTAACAAAGAAACGCCGTGGTATCAGACTAACGGAAAAGTAACAAACAACGTGGTATCAGACTAACGGAAAAGTAACAAACAACGTGGTCACAGACTAACGGAAAAGTAACAAACAAACGCCATGGTATCGGACAAAATGGTATGCTGGCATATTAGTGGCATAATAACATATGTACAGATTGTACTCTGGGTCTAAAAACGGATTAACACTGTACAATAACGTGTATTGTGATGTACTTATTTCACAGTTACGTAGGAACACCATACCTTGGCACTGAGAACGGTGTGATTTCGTACCATCACGTGATCTAGTACGTTATTGTAATTCCAGTCAATAACAAGAGGATTTTGAAGACAAAAAGTACATTTTCCCACCATGGTAACGTACGGCGACACAAAACCCTCGGACAGGAAATGATTGTAGGAATCTACAAAAGAAATCGGACGGACATGTAGTGGTTAGAATATTCATTTCACGATATCTCTGGCTAAACATAGATACCCGTCTCCTCTAAGCCTAGCACCATTCGATATATATTACGAGGAATTATCTGGTGCGGAGTTAACCATAAATGTTTGACTATTTGGGGTATTTACAACATATATACTACGTTTATACATGTATTGATCAATGCTTATTAATATACTCTTTCACAAATAATAACAAGATCTGCATTAACTGAGGCAATTTTTTGGAGTATGCATAATCTGGAACTCCTTCGTAGACAGAGATTATCAGAAATCATCCAGCAGAGGCGCAATACTCTGATCGAATCCCCTTTGTCTGTAGGCGTTATAGTCTATATCATTGGAGTTCAGCTATATAGATAACAAACTTTGTAGATAATCTTGTTATTTGCTTTTCATTGTATTAATTACGTCATTTTGTTGGTTTTTATGTCTGGTTTTTGGGTCAGAGGAAATCCGAGCTTATCTTAACATTCTCCAGTTGCACACCTTTGATACAAAACTCATTTCTTACAAAAACTCTAGACAGCGGAGTCCGAACACGGTTTGAAACTTAACGGGCCATAGGTGAAATCAGACAGACAATACTGTTTATAGTTGATGTTTCAGATAACTCGGCTGTTCCTTACGTTTTATGTTTATTATCAGTAAAATGAAAGTTGAGTAAATGTAGTAACAAGTAATATCCACATATTAACGAAGAATCAGACAGGAAAATTGCAAAACTCTTACTGTTTAATTTTTTTTCGCACGTGTTCAGTTCAATGGAAAAAATATCTATGTGAAAGTAGACTATTTCGATTTCGCTATAAATTATATCTTTGTATGAACTAGATGTATTCTTACTATATATTTGTGGTTTGACAGTTACCTTCGAGGTCGGCGGTGACGTTGTACGCAGGTACGTCGGGACTGGTATTAAGATCCCCAATGATGAGGGGTTTGTCAAACATACTTGCTGCCTCCGTTAGTTTACGAGAGTCAGCGAGATTTTGTTCTCTCCAACTTTTGTACACGTCACGGAGGTTGGCTGAAACAGTTTAAAGCGCTATTACTATGAGTGATTTTGTTCACTTTAAGCGTTTGTCAAACAAGAGTACTACATAACAGAGAGGATTTTTTAAATGCTCGTGAAATTGGCACCATCATATTCATAGTATAAATCTACGTATTAAGGGAGATAACTCGAGCAAGGTTTATTTTTGTTTTGACATTAATGTAATGGAAGCATTCAATTTATCATATCATGATGACCGTGAAATGAATCAAAGGCATGAATGAATGAATGGATGAATGAATATTTATAATGAATGAGTGAATGCTCTTCAAGTGAATAAAACATACGTTCATAGTACTTCGTGTTTGCATTGGAAGTAGAATGGCTGCAAAAGACCGTCCCCACATCTTCAATCTGCAATCATTGCAAAAACACAGATGTATGTTAAATTTCTTATTACTCAGCTAGGCAACATCACACAACAACTGTCTTTCAAATTAGATTCAAAACTGTTATCTCTAATTTTAGTTACAGCAGTCATGTGATTTTCCCGTTTTCCTATACCCTGGCAATTCCGGGGTGTGGAATCAAGTTTTCAAGTGATATTGTATAATCCTACTGTGAAAATATTCTATTACAATGGGAAAATATGCAGAAAAAAAGTTTTACTGCATATCGGGTGTAAATTAGAATTAAATTAAAGCTCAAAAATAATCCAAGAGCTAAAATAACAGTCGCAAAGCCTTTGATAGTGTAGAGTAACATCCTTGGAGGTTTATTTACCAAAGAATCCATCAAAAACTTTGTGACGTACTTTAAATAAATACGAGTAATGTCGAAGGTGTTATAGTAAAATTATAGTCGCACAATGTTTAGGTTTTTATCGATCAAACGCGCATTTACAAAAGACCGGAAGTAGCTATGGCTAACAAAATTTTCGAGGGTGGAAACTCAATCACGAAACACAAAACAGTTACGTCCAGATTTTTCTGATATCCAACTTGTTAAGATACATATGCTTTGGTCCAATGACGTCATTTGTCTGTCTACCACTTGTTCTGGTGGAATGACGTCATTATTTAAACATTTGACAAGTGCATTCCTGTGGCTAGTAACACAGTCTGTTTGATGGACATGGATATCTTAACCCGAGCGCAGGGTCACAAATCTATTACATCCGGGTAGATATATCCCTGTCCATGCAACAGACCAATGCCTCCCTTCATTGATCTCAAGGTCACGTGTATTTATAATGTAAAAGTCAACCTTTGACATTTGGAAGAGTGCCTCAGCGACCAATGGTTGTTAGTCAGGTGCAATTGTTTTCAGTTGGTGAAAACGTATTATGGTATTGTCTGTAGAATTTCAAAGTGGTTGAAAATAGAACCCAACAAAAACCAACAAACAGCAGTAAGATCAGCCTTTGGAAAACTAACTCATTAAAACCTTCTGCAACATGTGATCTCCCGACCTATTGATCACTTATAAAAAGTACCCTGGCCTACAAAATATCATATTATTTCACGTGAAAATAAAAGACATACTTACAGATTCTAAAGCTGTAAATAAATTTAACAATTACATACATTAAAAACTTGACACCAGAAACATCAAAAATTTGTTCGAAAAGGTAGATTTCAACCAATCAGGATCAAAACACATCTGGCTTTCTGTTGATATAATTCCAGGTATTAGTAAAATCCTTACGAATGTGTTCTAATTTTCTAACCGCTAAATGAAGAGATAATTCGGTAGAAATTATCTATATAACACACTAACTTCTGCCTCGATATACGCCCGTTTGATGATCTGTTTCACGTTGGGTTCAAAGAACACCGTTTTGGCGGATGTCACCTTCCTCTTACTCAAAAGAACCACACCAGGGGCATTGATTGATTCTCTCCTGTAGTAGTTAAAGCAGCGTAACATCATATCTAAACCAGTAAAAGCTAGACAAGAAATGCATTCCTGACTCTCTGACATAAGTCCACAATCAACACTACAGTTTACGAACGCAGGGATGTTGTTGACCAGATCTGCACAGTTAAACACTGAACAGGCTACTGTCAGTGGTGCGTTGTGACAAGGGGGAGCGTTTATTGTTCCCCAAAACATCTTCTCCTGGTACAAAGGCGGTGTGTAGATATAAACGCTTCTGTCCAACTCCCTCTTCAGCATACCTACATCATCTCCGAACCACACCTGGAAACCAATTTTTTTTTTAAATCACAATTTCTGATTGAAAAGCATCGATCTTAAATTTTGCTATGTACCTTTAGAAATAATTAATTTCCTTGAAACAACAAATGGTATCAATTTAAACAAAGCTCAGAGCTGATATTAATACCTATACTATCGTTTTTGATATACATATGTACCTACATTGCATTCATAAAAGAAATAACGACCATCTGACGACTTTCAATGGTTAAATATGTATATGTAGTAGGTAAGAGACTATACCGTACAACGTTAGCAAGATGTTAGACAGGCTGTTTAGTAGTATACATGTACCCTACATGTCAACAAGGGGAAAATGCTTACACACTATTATATGTATTTAGGTGAGTATGACAAAGTATTTACATGTCTCTCCAACGTTGCTTCGAAATTCGTTTCCTCGTTAAGAAAGAGAATCAAATAATTCACTCAACATAATATATGCCTTCAAGGTTTTATGTAAAATACCTGCAAATGTGTATATCATTTTCCTCAAAAGTCTCATACTTTTTTGTAGTTAAAAATAGACATGCAAATACTAATTTGGTTTCGTTTTTAAAATCTTATTGCTTTCTTTAGATGATGTGTTAAGCTACATATATGAAATCATAGTCTGATACAAACCATTACATTAAAGAAATGCAAAGTGTTTCCCTATAATCAATAGAAGGTATTCCTATTCGGCCAGATCGGATGTTTCATTCAGGTTGTTGTCACTACACTATATAGATATCGAACTTAATGCTTAACAAACGATGATTACAACCTCTGTAGGACAGTTCCCTTAGTACAGGCATAGGTCATACATGCCAAGAGTCTTAGGGTGACTTTAACGAGGATCTTCCATACAGGATAACTGTTGAGAGAATAAAAGCTTTCCTGAAGAGCTATTTTGATGAAATAGTGAATCATGTTTGGTGGTAGGTCATATTGTCGATATCGGGGCATTTTCTTTTAACATAAAACATATTAAAGTCATGATGTACTTTATGTATGGATCTTTACTGTAAATCATACTTCAATTGAATTTCACAGGTTTCATTAAAAACCCGTCCTCACGTTCGCTGTTAACGTACATACTAGCTTATACATTTATCATCACTAATTTCCTATACATGTATCATCAAATATAAAATAAATTTTAAAAAAAAATTATAGGTACCTCTTGAAGACACATGACGTCATAATCTGCGGATTGCAGTGCCCGGATGATGTTTGGTTTCCGGTCATCATAGTTGTCTATTTGGCTAAGTAAGCCAGCATTGTAAGTCTGTATTTTAATTGCTGAGGATGTGCCCAGATGTAAAGTCATACACAGCGATGTCAAACACAACAGCCATACAAATGTCATCCTGTGAAATCTGGTAACAAAACAAAAAGATTTATGCTCGACAAATGGTAAAGCCATTTACATTACGTGGAGATGCTTGTATTTACACTCTGTATAATGGTGGATATATCTACACTTCCACGGAGATGCCTCCATATTGTATTCCGATGGAGATATCTACACTCCGTATACCGTTGGGGATTCCTGCCCTCTGTATTCCGGAGATAACTACACTTCCAATGAACATATATACAATCTGTATTCCATGGAGATACTTACACTCTGTATTACATGGAGATATCTACACTCTGTATTCCAATAGAGGTACTTACACTCTGTATTCCAATAGAGGTACTTACATTCTGTATTCCAATAGAGGTACTTACATTCTGTATTCCAATAGAGGTACTTACACTCTGTATTCCAATAGAGGTACTTACACTCTGTATTCCAATAGCGGTACTTACATTCTGTATTCCAATAGAGGTACTTACATTCTGTATTCCATGGAGATATTTACACTCTGTATTCCATGGAGATTCTTACACTCTGTATTCCAATAGAGGTACTTACACTCTGTATTCCAATAGAGGTACTTACACTCTGTATTCCAATAGAGGTACTTACATTCTGTATTCCATGGAGATATTTACACTCTGTATTCCAATAGAGGTACTTACATTCTGTATTCCGATGGAAATATCTACATTCTGTCTTCCATCGATATATCTACACCCTGTATTCCGATCGAGATACCCACGCTCCATATTCTGGTGAAGTAACCAACGCTGCGTATTCATGTGAAATACCTACAATTTATCTAAAGCGGTTCCTAGTGATACACAGAACTACTATCTACAACGTCCTTTAATTTAAACCGGACATATATATTAACCTGGTATACGGAACTTCAATTTTGGTAGACCTTTAGTATTGCACCAGGGTCTATCTCCTCAGTGATTCCGCAAATTTTCTTTTCTTTTGAACTCGAAAGTGTCTAAAATGAACCTGCTGTATATATTACTAAATTTGAAATCTGAACTTTTTCTCCCATTACCAGTATCGTGTAACCGGAGGACTGTCATGCTATTGCATCAGAGTTATAGCATTTCAGTGTGACGGCACTATAAAATCGACAATAATTGGTCACATCATCAACTTGAAAACCTTTTTATATTATTAGCTGTTGCTTGGAAACTTAAACAAATACATCGGTGCTACTGAGCAGTATTTCTGTAACCACTTTTGGTGATTTACACAGTAAAACGTACTCTGGTATTTTACCTTCTCTTTTGTTGTCCCTCCTCTGTTGTCCCTCTTCTGCTGTCCCTCCTCTGTTGTCCCTCTTCTGTTGTCCCTCCTCTGTTGTCCCTCTTCTGTTGTCCCTCCTCTGTTGTCCCTCTTCTGCTGTCCCTCCTCTGTTGTCCCTCTTCTCTTGTCCCTCTTCTCTTGTCCCTCCTCTGTTGTCCCTCCTCTGTTGTCCCTCTTCTCTTGGCCCTTTTCTGTTGTCCCTCCTCTGTTGTCCCTCTTCTCTTGTCCCTCTTCTCTTGTCCCTCTTCTCTTGTCCCTCCTCTGTTGTCCCTCTGTTGTCCCCCTTCTCTTGTCCCTCTTCTCTTGTCCCTCCTCTGTTGTCCCTCCTCTGTTGTCCCTCTTCTCTTGTCCCTCCTCTGTTGTCCCTCCTCTGTTGTCCCTCTTCTCTTGTCCCTCCTCTGTTGTCCCTCCTCTGTTGTCCCTCCTCTGTTGTCCCTTTTCTGTTGTCCCTCCTCTGTTGTCCCTCTTCTCTTGTCCCTCTTCTCTTGTCCCTCCTCTGTTGTCCCTCCTCTGTTGTCCCTCCTCTGTTGTACTTCCTCTGTTGTCCCTCCTCTGTTGTCCCTCTTCTCTTGTCCCTTTTCTGTTGTCCCTCCTCTGTTGTCCCTCTTCTCTTGTCCCTCTTCTGTTGTCCCTCCTCTGTTGTCCCTCCTCTGTTGTCCCCCTTCTCTTGTCCCTCTTCTGTTGTCCCTCCTCTGTTGTCCCTCTTCTGTTGTCCCTCCTCTGTTGTACTTCCTCTGTTGTCCCTCCTCTGTTGTCCCTCTTCTCTTGTCCCTTTTCTGTTGTCCCTCCTCTGTTGTCCCTCTTCTCTTGTCCCTCCTCTGTTGTCCCTCTTCTCTTGTCCCTCTTCTCTTGTCCCTCCTCTGTTGTCCCTCCTCTGTTGTCCCTCCTCTGTTGTACTTCCTCTGTTGTCCCTCCTCTGTTGTCCCTCTTCTCTTGTCCCTTTTCTGTTGTCCCTCCTCTGTTGTCCCTCTTCTCTTGTCCCTCTTCTGTTGTCCCTCCTCTGTTGTCCCTCCTCTGTTGTCCCCCTTCTCTTGTCCCTCTTCTGTTGTCCCTCCTCTGTTGTCCCTCTTCTGTTGTCCCTCCTCTGTTGTACTTCCTCTGTTGTCCCTCCTCTGTTGTCCCTCTTCTCTTGTCCCTTTTCTGTTGTCCCTCCTCTGTTGTCCCTCTTCTCTTGTCCCTCCTCTGTTGTCCCCCTTCTCTTGTCCCTCTTCTCTTGTCCCTCCTCTGTTGTCCCTCTGTTGTCCCCCTTCTCTTGTCCCTCTTCTGTTGTCCCTCCTCTGTTGTCCCTCCTCTGTTGTCCCTCTTCTCTTGTCCCTCCTCTGTTGTCCCTCCTCTGTTGTCCCTCTTCTCTTGTCCCTCCTCTGTTGTCCCTCCTCTGTTGTCCCTCTTCTCTTGTCCCTTTTCTGTTGTCCCTCCTCTGTTGTCCCTCTTCTCTTGTCCCTCTTCTCTTGTCCCTCTTCTCTTGTCCCTCCTCTGTTGTCCCTCTTCTCTTGTCCCTTTTCTGTTGTCCCTCCTCTGTTGTCCCTCTTCTCTTGTCCCTCCTCTGTTGTCCCCTTCTCTTGTCCCTCTTCTCTTGTCCCTCCTCTGTTGTCCCTCTTCTCTTGTCCCTCCTCTGTTGTCCCTCCTCTGTTGTCCCTCTTCTCTTGTCCCTCCTCTGTTGTCCCTCCTCTGTTGTCCCTCCTCTGTTGTCCCTCCTCTGTTGTTCTTCGTCTTCCAGTTGTTAGGCGTTCAGATTAACAAGTATCAGTTATAGACCTACTGTTAATCAGGAGAAGTACGTCAGAGTACGAATCATTCATACGTTTGAGTGTGCTCATGTAATCGTATTTACATATAAGGAACATAACAAGCTATTAGCCGTTATGTTGTTATTAACACATATAAAGTATTATACATTCCCATTATTTGACGGAGCCGTCTTAATTGGAACTGAATGGTATGAATATGTAATATGTGTTATAAATGTCCAATATTAGAGATATGATCAAATCGGCTCGCCCTTTGAAACACCATTATCATCATCATTTAAGATTGGTCGAGATAACATTTGAAATCTGTACGTAACGTTCCACTAGATGTAATGACCTTTGACATATTCTCTTTCTTGACAAGAAAGCCTCAGGCACCGATACGATAATATTGGTTCACACAGTATTGTTCTTCATATGGTGATGTCGAGAGGTTGGTACGTGTGGAAGGTTTTAATTACTCATGCCTTCGGCTGTATCCTACATGTGTTTCGTCTTTCTAGAACTCGTCAGTGTGATAGCGTAGAAAAAAGCATGTATCAGATGTACGGCTGTGATTAAGTCAGAAGATTGCAAATTAGAGTTTTGGCGGGAAAAAAAATAATATTAATAATAATAATAATAATAAGTAATAGGCTTTATTTATTCTTGATAACATCTTGAGCAATATGCTCGTATTACATATGGTCAAGAAGGTAATATACAATATTTATAAAAGATTCAATGGAAGAGTTTCTTGTAGCTTAAGCAGTTTTGCGTGATGGCCAGTAAAAATATTTTGAGATCTGCTTTGAACATCAGACCAATAAGTGAAACAATTCAAACTGTGGAATTATTGGGCACCTTGCAACAGCTGAGTCTGAAAACAATTACAACAAGGCTACTTTATCACATGATCGTCACAACCCATACATGCCAAATATAGCCTTGTTGTAAATACAAGAATCAGCTGTTACGACTCTACATAAAATAGGGTTTATAGACAATTTTAATTTAATCAAGTAGCATCTTGTTTACATACACATTTTATGACATAGTCCTTTAACATTCTGTGTTATCTTAAATAATAAAAACACCCAATCTTCAAATTTTGTAACCAACAAACAGTAATTTCCTTCCCGATATTCTGTTTCAAATATTAGTCTTTTTATTGTCCTAGTAGCTAGAATTAGCCAGAATTTCTCAAAAAAAAAAAAATAAATAAATAAACAAGTTTTAGAAGCCAACTTCTGAGAAAAATATCATTAATATACATATATACATATATATACATATATACATATATACATATATATATATATACATATATACATATATACATATATACATATATATACATATATACATATATACATATATATACATATATACATATATATACATATATACATATATACATATATACATATATATACATATATACATATATACATATATACACATATATACATATATACATATATACATATATACATATATATACATATATACATATATACATATATACATATATATACATATATACATATATACATATATACATATATATACATATATACATATATACATATATACATATATACATAAATACATATATACATATATACATATATATATACATATATACATAAATACATATATACATATATACATATATACATAAATACATATATACATATATACATTAATTCTGATTCACTCAAATTTTCTATCAAAGATATCTTAAACATATATGACTGTATCAGAATACTATAAAAGATGTCCTTCCTTGTGTGTAATTTTTGAAGTAGTGAGAGTAAATACACTTTCCAATTATGTAATGTGTTATTGTAATACCGTTATCTACGAGGTAATATGATGAGGTAAGATGAAAATCGAGAAAACAAATATCTTGGAAATAAAAATTACAGAGAAACTGTAAGTCTTTCTATGGATTTCGTGAAAAATATTTCGTTTTACTCCTAGTTGTTGATAAACGCAAAAGGCCTGCTTAGTAAATACACAATAGAAACTGAAATAGATAATGTTTGTTAAACAGGATGAAACAATCTATACTATGTTTAAATCTGCACAAATTACTGATCACAGTGAAAGTCTTAATACGTTTAACGTTTAAAATAGGTCAATTAGATATGACAGCGGCCGAATTGTCATCTTATGGAGTGAATTTTCTTCATATTAAAAACTACTACATGTCGTTTGTTATCAATGAAGACGACCCTGTTAGTGTATGTTTATAGCAGGATTTAAGACATACCCTGCGTTCTATTTTTTTTTTTTTTTTTTTCTTAAATTGATCATGTTTATGGCGAGTAGTTATTTACGGGTGACTGATAAAAAGTCCGCATGTTAGTGTTATAAAGTTTAACCAACCACTAATTCTCAGAAACCAAAAATGTAATTAGCAAAGCGTTGCCTTAAATTCCCATACTAACATACCAATACAACTAAACTGAATATTTTCTTTTTTAATGTTTTACTTAAATAGTTCACTAATCATAATTGTGTTTTTCCCGACATACGAAAACTCAATGATTGTTATGAAATGAAAAAAATAACTTTTGTTGAAAAACAGTTTAATCAGCGGATCATTTGTCACGTGTTTGAATGTAGTTTTAAATGTCACGTGCCTTCTTTTGTTTTTTCCTGTTCCTTTTTTCTACACTTGAGACCATTTATGCTGATATATCAGTTATTCCAGACTCTAGGAGTTAATTTATTTCATCAACAACGCTACATTTCGTAAAGCTGTGATTTCCGCTGATGTTTAGACATACCAGACGTTACATTTTCTACCGAGGAAAGCGTTGTATATAAATCATCAACCTTCTTACCACGCCCACTATCATGCCCCCTTCCACTGTTTTTGTATATTGGGCTCTTTGAATGGACTAACTGGTTGGATTTCGTTAATTTTTCCACGTGTTTGACTTCGGGCAGGCGTTGTCATACTTAAAAATAGACTATTCACAAACGTACAGCGCTTTCTGAGAAAGATTGATAAAGATTATCAATTTCAAACTAACACTGGTCGACATTCGCTGATGTGTCTACCGCCATTCGGTGTTATGATTACATATCTAAATTTGCATACACAAAGACGTTGTTTACGCTCTCCGAACGATAATAATGTGAATTGGTGTTGGTATGCTCGTATCTTATTTTAATATTTTGGCGTTCTTGCTCAACTTTTCACAGATAATTATCATTTATGGAATGAAAATCTAAATATCTAGTCCTTTAAATAAATTTCTTGTCGATGATATTCTCTAAACCTCACGTTCCTATATCTAAACCTTCCGCATAATTCATGCGAAATAAACAGGTTTGGATAATCCCTCATATTTTTGTATTGGATACAAAACCACGTGTCGCCTGTCGGGAACATATTTGAGAAACCCTTAACAACAAGAAAAGTACAAATCTTTGATGCTATAATGTCACTTCATACACAGCCATTACTTACAGGACTCATTGTAAGGCTACTTTTTCGAGCAATTTGAAGTATGATTGTTTGAGTAAAACAAGTTTCCATGTACTATGTATCTTAGTCTCATGCTCGTTACCTTAACATCTTGTCTGTCCTGGCATCCTTGGGGTATTTTATTTGAAAATTTCAAAAAGATCCTGCGAGTATGTTGTGACAAAAAGAAAGCTATTTATCAGTAATTTGATGAGTTTCAGACACATAAAACTGTCCAGTCACTAGACTGACATCCTTCCGGAACACCTGGTCTTACTTTCCTCCTTTCGTTGATATCAGTGTAAACATTTTTTGAAATTTTGCTCTCGTGTCATCGAATTTAAATTTGAACCAAGACTCTCTTGACGTGTCAACATTTTCTTTGTTGCTTTTAAAAAATTGTGCAACATCTGTTCATCAAAATCAAGCGATTTTGATTTAATATTTTTGTTGGTGTGATTTTTCCAGACTATTGAAATCACAAAATGAGCCTTTAGATTTGTCGTGACAAATCACGATCGAAGGTTTTCAAGTAAAAAGAGCCAAGGTAACATTTGTCTCTTACTCATTGAAACAAATCTAATATTTCATATTTTACATTAACAAAATTCCAGAATGTAAAGTCACTACAATTCAGTTCAGGAATACATAATTGTGGTATTTTTTTTTTTTTTTCTTTATGTTTTTTTTTATGTTTTTATGTTGTTATATATTGATCAGACTGGTGTTACAAAGACAGATATACATGTGTATGTTATATATAGATCAGACTGGTGTTACAGAGACAGATATACATGTATATGTTATATATAGATCAGACTGGTGTTACAGAGACAGATATACATGTATATGGTGTTATATATTGATCAGACTGGTGTTACAGAGACAGATATACATGTATATGGTGTTATATATTGATCAGACTGGTATTACAGAGACAGATATACATGTATATGGTGTTATATATAGATCAGACTGGTGTTACAGAGACAGATATACATGTATATGTTATATATAGATCAGACTGGTGTTACAGAGACAGATATACATGTATATGTATGAGAAAAAAGTTCACTCTCATGTGTTTTGTGATATATTTGTGTATGATTTTCGTGGTCAGTTTCCAACTTCTACCTCCACGCCATAGTGATCGGACATCGGGAAATCTTTACCAGGAATGTTTTGGTCGTATATCCGCTGTAACAAGAACAGTAATGACCAAATTATAATTGTATATTCAATATTTTCTGGCAACTTCCCCGTTCTGGTAGATAAAACGGTGCTAACTTAATCATTCGTTTTTGAGATGTGGGCTAATTACAAATCTTACCTTTAGACATAGAATGGGAGTTGGAACCTTAACAACTTTATCAACTCTTCATTAAACTTTCAATTACTCCTCACCTACACTAGAAATTACGTCTTCTAATTAAACATCAACGCCACATAGAAGTAGTATACCTTGGCACCCAGAACTGTGTGATTTCTGACCAACACGTGATCCAGCACTTCATCATATTCCCAGTCTTCAACAAGAGGATTCTTACGACAAAAAGTACATTTTCCCACCATGGTAACATACGGGGACTGGAAGCCCTGGGACAGGAATTCGTTGTAGGAATCTATAAACGATTTACATGTTTAATGTACAGTTATATCAATTATAGGGTACAGCGATCACTAGGTAATATAGATAAGCAAATCTAACGACAGAAAATTACTTAATCAACAGACAGGATTAACTCATCAATGTCATGAACTTTTATTTCTTTGTATTTTTGCTATCTGTCTTCATTCTGTAATCATTTATCAACACCCCTTACTGCTACCTTTTGTTTAGCTCTGCGATAGTTACCCTCAAATTCGTTAGTGATGTTGTTGGCTGGTATTTCAGGGCCAGTATTTAGATCCCCCATGATCACAGGTTTGTCTGCCTGGAGAGCTGCTTCAATTAATTTGCGAGAGTCTGCGAGATTTTGTTCAGCCAAACTGGAGTACAGATGTCGGAGCTGCGCTGGAATAGACAGGTTTGACATAGTCACTTTATACATGATGCCATTTAACTTTTCAGTGATGCAATATGTATTCTTTTAAATGAAAAACATATAGTGAAATAAATCCAGATGATTCCCCGTCTATATTCTAACATTTCTTTCGACCACTTTCGATATTCCTCAATCGCCACAAAGGCTTCAAAATTTAGGCACTTAACATCACCGACGAATCCTAAAGGACGAAACAGATGTTTGGTGCAGTTTAATTCATTGTTTGGCCCTGTCTTAATTTGTATGAATAAATGATATTCAGTTGTACAATGTACAGTCTTTAGAGTCATGAAACGGTCTTTGCCACATTTTACTTAATTCGAATGGTGACAGGGTTCAGAATATACACAAGTACTTGACGATCTTTTAAAATTATTAGATATATCGAAATTCTGAAATTGATTGAATTATGGGGTTAGGGCACCTACCTACCTACCTAAATTTTTATATTTCTTTCGATCAGTATTGTTTCTTTATACATTATTCATTTCAGAAGTTAGGTCCATAGCATCAGTAAAGAGTCCTAGAAGGGCGAAACAGACGTATGATGCAGTATATTCATTGTTTGGCGATAATGTAATTTATTTTAAATTTATAGTGAAAAGCGTTCATATATGTCTTTTGTACAATGGTAAAGGATGTTTCTTGCTCGGGTGAGCCTCTCTCCTGTCTTGCCTCCGCCCTCCTCTCTCTCTCTCTCTCTCTCTCTCTCTCTCTCTCTCCTCGCAGACCAAGATAGGTCTGTTTATACTAAAAATGATATGGGATAACAAAGATTGTGTAATACTTGAGTAGCTGTTACATACTTATACATAGGACTGATCGAAGATTAGGTAGTTTTCCACAAGATAAGTACCACTGACCTTCCGAACTGCCTAGGCTCAGGTGATTACTTAAATAATCAGGAAATGAAATGATACATGGATATATGTGTAGTATGCCTCCGGCTACTGATCAATACATAATTGCCAATTGGTCGATATATGTCAGTAATAAATTAAGCTTTCTCATTCTAGTATTTAACTTATGATTAAAAATCTGGCGTATAACTAACTAGACACAATATTGAATAATTTAATTAACTCACGTATTAACTTTTAATAGTTCACATTTTTTATCTGTGACTTGGTTTGATGCAGATGTGAAATGTATCCCCAGAATACGTGTGATGACATTACTTTAACTTAAGGGATAAATGATTAAAGAGGCTCCTTTGTCCCATATTTACAAACTCTCAATGAAATATGCAAACATTTGAGTAATTTACAAATTTTCTGAACATCATTAAAATAATGTTGGCCGAAGTAAGGAGACTGTTTCCACAGCCAACTAGTGTGTTTGATTTTAAAAATCTATATGCATCATAGAAAGACATATCGAAATAGATTTAAGCCATTCCGTGTGACCATGCGATACATTTCAAGTCTAACCTCACGCTGTGTATCCACTCATATAGGGAAACCAATCGACGGTCAATAATAATTCGTGCTTGATTTAATCAGAAAAGCCTAATAAATAAATAAATAAATAAATAAATAAATAAATAAGAATTAAACCGAATTTGAGGTAGAGATTAAACAATAAATCATGTTGTGGAAATGAATAACTTTTTGCAAAATTTAACAATGACTGTCAACATTTTTAATTCAAGTTTTTTTTCAAATCTTTGTGAATTGATTTATTCATTTACCTACAGCTATATAAGAATTCCAGTTATGACTAGCTTTATAAGAATTCCAGTTATGACTAGCTTTATAAGAATTCCAGTTATGACTAGCTTTAATAAGATTTCTCCGTCGTCGATAACTAGTTATGATAAGACTTCTCCGTCGACGATAACTAGTTATGATAAGACTTCTCCGTCGTCGATAGCTAGTTATGATAAGACTTCTCCGTCGACGATAACTAGTTATAATTTGATTCCTCCTTCGTCGATAAGGTAGTCTCTTTTCCATGTATCGATGTATGAAAGTATTTTACCGGGGGTCACAAACATGGTAAACCACATTGATGTATTACCCTGTGCAGGCAAGCATTATAATGTAAAGCATGTGAGAACGAACGAAGGAACGAAGGAACGAACGAACGGACGGACGGGCGGAGGAATTCATAAATGAATAAGATATAATTATGGATATTCTACATACGTTCGTAGTATTCCGTATTAGCGTTGGACGTAGAGTGGCTGCAGAAGACGGTACCCACATCTTCAATCTGAATCAAAGATACATATAGGTATCATCAATAAGACTTTGTGTTTTACAAGACTATGTCAGAAAGCTTTCGATAGGAACTTCACTAGGGACGGACAGATTCAAACATTAATTCTTAAAGAAAATGAAAATGTTGTGAATCGGACAGAATTTCTTTTATCATCTGTTTCAGTTTCCTTCATGAAAATATCTGTCACATCTATATCAAACATTATAAAGTCAAATGATTTGACCAAATTGAACAGAGGACATTTTTTAAAGGCAAATTTTATTGTAAATGCAAAAAAAAAAAAAACTAGTTATCTATTTTTGATTGTCAAGCCCCTAAAATATACTCAAAATGTCGTTTTTAACAGAAAATATCGCGGTTCCTGTTGGTGTATTACATATCAAAATTGGTTTTACGGAGCTCGTCATCTGTTTAATATTTACTTACAATTCTTTTGCCTTAACATTGATAATTTACTAAACATTTCTCTTCCAACTCAGCGGTCGTTTTTTCCTTTCTATTCATTTTCTGTTTACTATACAAGAGGAGAATCGTCATGGTTTTATAATCATAGTTTAGTCTTACATTGTATAAATAATCAAATACCCATAACAAAAAGTTTTCTTTTTCTTTAACAGGAACATGTGTTTGATTCCTACTACATCAAATTGAACATTAATGGTCACGTTTTGAATTCATTCTTACCTTTAGACCATGCACAGATGTCCGCTAGCTGCTATATCATACAAAGACAAAAGTGTTGCGTTCTCACAACACGACGTTTTAATTGATAGTTTAGTGTAGCCTTACTGCACAATTAAGACAGATTATATAACGAATTACATTGATACGCTTTATATTCGTTACAATGCCTGGCGATTTCGTTGTTTATACGTTTCTCGGTGAAGCAGAACATTTGGTCTTAATCTTGTACTCTTTCAAGTATGTTCGTGTTAATCGTTCTTTTGATCATAGTTTGCCCCCGTTTTATTGAATATGAGTTTGATTTAACAATGTTAACAAGTCGACATGTTCTTCCATACCTTCATTAAATTCTTATTTTAAAAAATTGTTTTTTAGCTAATTTCACATCATTCATGAAAAGGTCTTACCTCGGCCTCTATATACGCCCGTCGTGATAACTGCTTCACGTTTGGTTCAAAGAAGACCGTCTTTACTGAGGTCACCTTCCTTTTGCTAAGGAGAACAACTCCTGGTATATTTATCGATTCCCCTTTCCAGTAGTTAAAACAACGTAACGGAGTCCAACTGGAAACCGACAGACAGGTTATACATCCTTGACTTTCAGACATAAGTCCACACTCAACAGTACAATTTGCAAGCGCTGCATAATTGTTCGCCAGGTCTGCACATTTTAGAGCTATACATGCTGCTGTTATTGGTGCGTTGTGACAGGGGGGAGCTTTCAGGAACCCCCCAAACATCCTTTCCTGGTACAAAGGTGGTGTGTAAACTGTAATGCTCTTTCCCAGTTTCTTTTTAAGCCTGTCAATATCATCTCCGTACCACATCTGAAGAATAATTGAATTTAAAAAATCACATTTGTTCTTTCATCGACCATTTCTTTAAAAAGGCCGACACCTGATCAAGAAATGAAATATGTTATTTATATACGCCAATTACTATAACTAGGTTGATGTACGTTTTTTTTTAATTGCATCGTCTAGTGATGTACAAATCTTTATCCAGCTTGGATAAAATCCGTCTTCTTACATCAAATCTGTTCGTACCAGTAAAACATCTAGAACAACTGTGGCAACATATGGCGTCATATGCGCAACCAAAAATGAAATATAATGTGAGATTAACGCCAAATCAGATTTTGTAGCAATCCAATAAATTGCAAAAAGTATTCTTGTTTAGTGAAAAGTATCATCTTATATTTGTTTCCATTTCCTACGGGGTATTTGAAACTTGTTTAGAGCCAGAAGTTCAGCAAAATGACCAATTTTCAGACTCAATCTCTTATACCATGTAGGGGTATGTATGATAATACATATCGGCGAAACATCGCGTTCATGTATATGTACATATATACCTTGTTGCGCTTGATTTGCTATCGTACAGGTATGTAACTTATAGAACGTCAAGAATCCTGAGGGTGTTTTAAAGTGTCGGTAGAAAATCAAATGTGATCACTTATACAGGAATGGTCGGCAATAGAGGTCTGGAGACTTAAAGAAGTAATACTTCATTAAGCAATGTGATCAAACCGGAGAAAGAATCAAGGTCGATAATACAAGTACAATTACGTTTTCAGAAGAATACCCGAACCATAGATAAAAATCCAAGTATGAGAGACAGGGATTGGCACACAAAACATATTTTCACCTAGCGTTATGCTCGCCTAAGTGAATATGTAAATGAACCCTTCATAAAACTTAAGCATATACCTTTTGTGTACCTTTAATTTCATGCTATTAGCAAAAGGGCGGATGGTCCAAAGTTTCCTCTTCCGGAACAAAAGATCACGTTCTAAGTGTATTCCTTTCAAGACTTCCCTCCTTTGATCACTCAGTGCGTAAAGCGTGATCAATATCATTTAGTTTATATACAACCCATGTTGTTAATACCCACCTCTTGAAGACACATGACGTCATAATCTCCAGATCTTAGTGCCCGGATGGCGTTTTCTTTTCGTTCTTCATAGTTGTCGATAAAGCTGATGAAGCCAACGTTGTAAGTCTGAATTTTGATCGCTTGGACCACGCACCAAAGCGACACCATACACAGTAATGTCATACAAAACGGCTGCATCATGGTTATGGTGGAAATTCTGCAACACATAAAAATAAAATATTTTAACTATTTTCATCTTGTAAACACAAAAATAAATGCTCTAGATATTTCTACATTTTTTTGTTTATGTTTTGGTTTTTGCTTTTTGTGGGTTTTTTTTTTTTTTTATTGTAGTTGTTTTAATTTTAATTCATGCATAACATAATAATTCCATTTTCATTAACATAACACTTTTTGATATTTATCATATGTTAATCTGTTAAATTTTGTCCTCAAACGTTAACGTATACATGTACTTGTACACGAGTTCTTCTGTTATGGTTGCCACATTATCTATAGCTAAAAAACAGTTGTTATTATGTTTGCCACATTATATTTAGGTAAAAAAAGTTGTTATTATGTTTGCCACATTATATGTAGGTAAAAAACAGTTGTTGTTATTATGTTTGCCACATTATATATAGGTAAAAAATAGTTGTTGTTATTATGTTTGCCACATTATATATAGGTAGGTAAAAAACAGTTGTTGTTGTTATTATGTTTGCCACATTATATATAGGTAAAAAACAGTTGTTGTGATTATGTTTGCCACATTATATATAGGTAAAAAACAGTTGTTGTTATTATGTTTGCCACATTATATATAGGTAAAAAACAGTTGTTGTTATTATGTTTGCCACATTATATATAGGTAAAAAACAGTTGTTGTTATTATGTTTGCCACATTATATATAGGTAAAAAACAGTTGTTGTTATTATGTTTGCCACATTATATATAGGTAAAAAACAGTTGTTGTTATTATGTTTGCCACATTATATATAGGTAAAAAACAGTTGTTGTTATTATGTTTGCCACATTATATATAGGTAAAAAACAGTTGTTGTTATTATGTTTGCCACATTATATATAGGTAAAAAAACAGTTGTTATTATGTTTGCCACATTATATATAGGTAAAAAACAGTTGTTATTATTTATCTTTTGTTAAACGATTTTGGTGGTTTTATATTAGATATAGTTATTTTTATTATTATTATTATTATTTGGATAATATCACCACTATATAACTGATCAAATGAACTTGGAGATTTACATATACAAGTTATATCTCGTTGACCTATATCAACAGCTGGAGATGAGAAACATCTACCGTAAAATATTCCTCTACTTAATTATGAATCAGTTCTACCTCGCAGACCATCTTATAAAACCACCTTATACAACTGGTGTATTTTTCATCTTACAATGGATAAGTCAAAATATCACAAAGTATTAACACTTAATGTGTTATCACGTAGTCTTATACATCAAGTATATGTTTGCAGCTGCCTTTTGACTTTAACATAATTCTACTTAAAAGCTTGTTTTTATCAGATTTATGTATAAGTATAATTTTCCTGACACAGTCTTTACTTAATAATATACCCCTGCTATATTGATGAAACAATTTATACCGACAAAACAAGTATCATTTAACATATATAACAAACAATCATACAGTACATCATTTACAAGTAGGACAAGTTAGTAATTCTATTTATTAGAGTTCCTACTAAACACATGAAGTAGCATCTAAAACATGTGTACATGTACCTTACCGGACACTACATCATTGTCTTCCTTTCAAGGAAAATACTTCACCTTCCGCTCCTTAAGGAAACAAAAATAGGTAAATGTTCCTCTACATGTAATCCATGGACTTCTTTAACTTCCCAACAGGAAATCTTTCTGAAATACACATTTCTAATACCTGTACCGTGTACCGTGAATATTCCCCGTGGACATGTTTACAACTTTCCGCCTGATTATTGAACTCGTCTAATGGACAGTTATGCATAGCCTAAAGAGGACACATATTATATATATTCAGTAGTTTGAAGTGCAACAAATAATTAGCTTAAAATATTCACCAATGTTGATGTGTGGAGAATGTCTAGAATTGTAGGAAATGATGAAAACTGTTTTAATTAGATAATGGAAAAGAATATTTAAACATTGATATTTTTTAAAACATGTATGTGAATCTGTCTATCGTGTCACGTGTCCATTCTTATAGTTGTGCGCTACGAATTGCAGTTTTACTAGTGTTTCATGTTTAAATATCTCCTATGTTATAAATTCTATCTCATAATTCATAACAGCCCACAATCATTATAGACATATGTATCTTATTTTTGCAGCACTCCATTTAGAGAATAGCATGTGAAAAATTAAAACACATACCAATCGTTTATTGTACATGTAAATATGTAGGTTTGTGAGTGTGAAAGAGAGGGAGTATGTATGTGTGTTTGAATCTGATCAGTGTAACTGTAATTGACCACCTGTGTTGTCCCAGGAGAAGACTTATATAGGCACTAGCCTGCTGTCTAATCCTATTAATACCTTGTATTAATAAAATGTTTTGAAATGAAATCGTTTATTTAAACCAATGAATCACAGGGATAAGCAACAATTGTAGGACGAGGCTTTTGTCTTGCTCACAATTTGATCAAACTCTAAGGTAGTTATTGTTTGTATTCAATATTTTCATGGTAAAGAAACCAATGACTTAAAGATCATTATGTATTAGGTATGTTCAATGGCGATGTCTTTCCTGGGGACAAGTTCATAACTTTTTGCCTGATTATTGAACTCGTCTAATGGAAAGTTATTTATAACTTGAAGAGGACACAAATTATACTCAGTAGTTTTAAGTGCAACAGGTAATTAACTTAAAATATTCACCAATGTTGATGTTTGGAGGATGTCAAGAATCTCGGGTGTACAGGTATCAGTAGGGAGAACTCTTCAGTGTGTTGTATACAATGGCTAGTACTATCAGATGTGTAACGACAAGTGTTGACAAGTTAACAAGCATTGCTATTATGTATTTCTGTCATAAATCTAATATATTTTCAGTTGAAACACTAAAGTCAGCTGATGGTCTTTCTCATTACAGATACACTACGTCATTGAAGTTTGAATATTTTTACTGCGCTGGCCTTCCATTAAATGCCTATTGAAGTTTGAATATTTTTACTGCGCTGGCCTTCCATTAAATGCCTATGAGTGCAGAATTTTATTTTTAAACAATCATGCAAAAGATTAATCGATGTTCGCAAACCAACAATTAAATATTTTCGCTATAAAAAGGTTTGTATTTTTTTATGTAGATATCACATACAGTTATAGTCACAGAAACTCCTCTAAAATGTTGTTAAAGTTTGTCTCCCGTCTCAGGGCAGACATGTTGGAAGCTTTTTGGACCACTTCATTCAGATAATACAAAGTAATACAAAGAAAAAACACAAATCCAATGTTTATTTAATCAACGGTATCACAGGTGTAAGTAAATAATAGAATTAATCTGAAGCTACACCCACGTTTTGACAAAACACTGCAATGCAAATACAAAATCTATATTGGAATTAATCATTAATATTTTTCTCCAACATTTTCGAAACCAGCACTGACGATCTTCTTAAAACTCTAACGTACGTCATTTAGATTTAAACTTATATTATAAAACCCCTCATTTACATTTCTTTTAATGCTTTATGTTATTTTAAAACAAACGTGCAATGAAATTTCAAAATTCAAATATTTCGGGGGAAAAAGTTAGAAAAAGTTATTGTGTTTTCATATTGTATTTAGATAATTAATATGTCTGTCATTACCACATCCTATAGTTAAAACCTTCTCATCAGTTAAAATATTTTCAGAGTCAAGAGAGGTAGTACAGAAATATTTCTTCTCTCCACATTGTCGTTTACTCAAAGTACACGCAACTCTGTCGATTTCTATTGGTCAATCACATCTCGAATGGACAGACTGACGTTATGGCATGCTTTGATGTTTCAGTTTCCAACTTCTACTTCAACTCCATAGTGATCGGACATCGGAAAGTCCATACTTGGTATGTTTGCGTCATAAAATCGCTGAAACAAAAAATATATAAAAATGGGCCAGCATACATAATCGTATAAAAGTTACAGATATCACAGCGGACTTATGTCATAGTTATTGACTTTTGTCATGTTTACAAAATTTGGGCTCTCATTTGGAGAAAGGCTTAAAGACGAGATACATCATGCTGTCGACTAAAAATAAAGTAGAGAAATGATAAATAATTCAATAAATAAATAAATTCAACTTCATAGTTACGTAGGAATATCAAACCTTGGCACTGAGGACGGTGTGATTTCGTACCATCACGTGATCTAGTACGTTATTGTAATTCCAGTCTTTAACAAGAGGATTTCGACGACAAAAAGTACATTTTCCCACCATGGTAACGTATGGCGACACGAAACCCTCCGACAAGAAATGATTGTAGGAGTCTAGAAAAAAAATAATAGCGGAACGGTTTACATAATTGTTTGCTTATATTTTCTTTGTATCTTTTCAGTTTGTGGAATAGAATTACAGATTCCATGTAAACATCATATAACAGAGATTGACTGAAAGGTTATGTCCTCCTCCCCTGGAAAGAGTTCGGAACTCTATCATACGATAACAAACATTATATCTGTACCTTGAATTAGGCCCTTAGCATCACTGACGTGTTCTAGAAGGGAGAAACAGGCGTACCATGGAGTTTAATTTCTTTGCTTGACTCTATATCTAACTCTAAATTTGTATGAAAATGTGTTATTTACTTGTGTGTCTTTGGTATTATCTTGATCAGTACTGTTATAAGTTTCAGTTACGACATAACTGCTGTCGTCAATGTCTTGTATATTGAGGATTTCTAATTAAGATGAGAAGGAAATAAACGGCGTTCCTGATATCACCTGGCGTCCCTTCACAAGAAAGCATCATGGCGTCTCCCAACTTCGTTCAGAACAGAAGTTAAAGAATATTGATGTTTTCCAATGAAAGAAATAGCAGCTTCTAAAGTCGTGTACCTGCTTTTAACCCTGCATTTCCGTTTTAAATGATATCAAATTAGTTGCAAAATATGACAATTATTGGTTCAGGCCGGAATACGTCTCTAAACATCTTTCCCAAACTCATACGTAACTACTATTTCCTTCCCCTACCGTTCCGATATATTAGCATTTGCGAGTTACCTTTGAAGTCTGCGGTGACGTTGTAGGCTGGTATGTCGGGACTGGTATTAAGATCCCCAATGATGAGAGGTTTGTCAGACATGAGGGCTGCTTTCGTTAGTTTACGAGAGTCGGCGAGATTTTGTTCCGCCATATTAGAGTAAACGTCCCGAAGGTTTGCTGGAATTGAATCGAAATAACATAACAAAAGTATATACCAGCAACAACAAAAGCTAAAAGAAAATTATGACAGGAACATATAGAGCCAACCTAGACAGTATGTAACCACTTTATCCTACTTGTTTGTTAGATCAAATCGATGATGTTTGTTTGATATGATTTGGCTCCGTAAACAGTCTGCGTCATATTGAGGCAAGGTATCCTTGTTGAAGCTAGTGACTACATCAAGGAACAACATAAGGGAGGTCCAGAGCAATCCCACGCACCCCAAAAATATCACAGTATAACATTGTTATATCAGGGGTTCAAAACGATTACGTGGTTGTCAACTGTCGACGTTATTGGGTCAAAGGACACGACTGACTTCTCTTGAAATCTAAGCACTTGCATATTACGCAATTGTTGCATGTGTTATAAATCTTTTGATAGTCAGCGAATGAATGAATGAAATGTTAATCTGACAAATTTCTACATACGTTCGTAGAATTCAGTTTCAGCGTTGGAAGTAGAATGACTGCAAAAGACCGTCCCTACACCGTCAATCTGCAAACATAATATATAATTCAATAATTCATTATCATGTGTTTGTATTTTCAAATTCAATGGGGAAAAACAAAAGAAAAAATGTATATTAAAGAATGCAAATCAAGCAGCACGTGAACTCTTTATGTAGTTTCTAGGGGGATGTAGAAGAGAATATTAATATAGTAACTAGATAAAACCCAACCAAGATATTGGAAATATATTGAGCACTGACTTTTACTTTATAGGTATGTCAGCGCTCATTTGACAGACACAGACAGACAGAAGGGGATTGTGATAAATTGTGTCTGTGTGTTTTCATTTAATTTGTTTTTCCTTACATTTCGTAAATACTTAATGTAGTTAGTACTACATGGTACTGATAACCTCTCTAATGAAGATAATGTAAAAATATTGTCAATTCACTCAGCAATATATTCTTAACTCTAACAGATTGTCATATCTCTCTCTCCTTCTCTCTCACTCTCCCTAAAATAAAAAGTTAAATGTCTCTCCTCACTCAGGCCCACTAGTATTGAGAAAGACCAGGACGACAGGAGAAAGTTGGACAACGCACGGGATGTGACGAACTTTAGAATAGTTGGAAGGCATTGAAAAGTGTACGGTGTAACTAATACTATTGTTGTCCGGTTCAAGAGAGACTGATTTACACTTAAAACAAATAGTATATCTTTCTCTCTCCGTGTAATTTTGTATTTAAACATGTCGTTTTGTCTTGTTATTGTGTAATTTGTCACACTTTATAGGGACAAGACTTGATATAAGTTGGAAAACTTGTGCCCAATTCCATTGAAATTGTTCAATAAAATGTTTAAATCAAAATCAAACTTAATGCTGATTTCTGTTCAATTTGTCTCTCTTATTGTAGCATGGCAACTAAATTAATGTGTCATTATATGACAATTGGAATTCTTAATCCATAAAAAACAAGTAGAGAAGTATTATAACGAGACAGCAAACGGTTTACTGGTAAACATTCAGTTCTCGTCTCTGAGATATCATTATACTGGACAGAATCTACAAACTGGTATTTAAGTAACAACTGCGCTGAAGTGAGTCCTATTAAACTTAATATTAGCATGAAATTTCCACAACGTGATCCAAGTAGTCAACTAACTGTGAACGTGACAATCTAATCACTAGGAAATAATTGGCATCACGTGTTACCAGCGACCTCATTATTCCCACCTTATTGGATATCCTTGTTGAAGGTTACAGTTTTTCCCATTTGTTCTTCAACATTTAACCAATCTCAGTTATTGGAAAATACGATTTTTCTTTTCATAAAGTCGATGTTTTACAGAGTGACGTCATTCGAATAAAAGATAATGAGGGAAATGAATCGAGAAAAAAACTTACCTCAGCTTCTATATAGCCCCTTTTAGTTATCTGTTTTACATTTGGTTCAAAGAAAATCGTTTTGGCTGAATTCACTCTCCTCTTACTTAGAAGGACAACACCTGGAATATTTATTGTCTCATGTCTCACGTAATTAAAACAGCGCAATGCACTCAAACCGGAAGCGGTGAGACAGGCAATACATCCCTGACTCTCAGTCAATAACCCACAGTCTATTGAACAGTTTGTTAGGGCCCCAAAGTCATTTGCGAGGGAGGCACATCTTAAAGCTATGCAGGCTACTGTCAGTGGTGCGTTGTGGCACGGGGGAGCGTTTAATAATCCCCAAAACATCTTCTCCTGGTACAAAGGCGGTGTGTAAATTGAAACATCTTTGTCTAGCTTTTCTTTCAGCATGTCAACATCATCTCCGAACCACATCTGGAAAGCAAACGTTTAAAGAAAACATCATTCCTGTTAAAAAATAAAGCATGCCTAAATCACGTTTATAAATTTCCGCATTTTGTTCAGTTCCCTCTATCGTTGATTTATCCCATCAGAAGTTATTATACATTAATAGTTTTATCTCAAAGATAACAATAAGGCATCGCATGATTTTAACATTCTCAGGCAAATAACTTGCATTATGATTTACTTTCATACTGCAAATCCTACGTTCCTTTTACAAATGAGTTTGTAAGAATGTAAAATTTGAAGACATTCAACAGCTCCGAATCATTGATAGTCACCTCTTGAAGGCACATGACGTCATAATCTCCGGATGCCAGTGCGCGGATTACGTTTGGTCTCCTTTGTTTGTATTTGGCTGTATTGGTGAGGAGGGCGACGTTGTAGGTCTGTATTTTTACTGCCTGAATAACATTCCATAACGACGTCATACACAATGACGTCATACACAACGTTATTGCCAATGTCATATTGTGAAGCCTAAGGGAAAAAAACGAAAAAAAAACCACATGTTTTTAATAACTAGTAAATACTGACAATAATTTATCAGTGCCTTTCGATAGAAGTTAAATCTATTTTTAGCCATCTTCATTGCAATACTTTAAATTGTTGGAGCACGTACAGAGGAAAGTTATAATTTTTCTGCGCGAAAAAGCTTTCCTTCTGCATCAATAAAACTTGCTTCGGTCACCATTGATAACATAAAAGCTCATGTCACTATGATTGGTCAAGAATATTAAATAACAATTGAATGGGTGAAGTAGTTAATAGTAAGTAAACCATCATTAGTCGCACCAAAGTGTGTAAGTAGATCATATTATAAACATATATTTGAATTATTTTAACACTTATACACACCCTCTCAAATACTCTCATACAAACGGATTGTTCTTTCCTTATAAACCGCTAAACCATTTGTATTATACCTATCCCAGGCCCGTCGCGTTCAGGAAATCCTACAAATAGCGGCTATCCTTTTTAATCTTTTTTTTTTTTTTTGAAAACCTTTAAACGTCAATTACATTTTTCGAGACAAAAGTGACATTACGGAAGAGGATAGTTTTTGATAATATTTTGATATTATATTGAGCAGGTGTTTGACTATCGTAATTCTACAAGTCACATCCGTATGTGATACTATGTAGAACTATCCCCTTAATGATATATTACACAAATAACTGCATGAAGACCATTTGTGTGTCCGCTGATACCGAATTAGGACTTATTATATATTTTTCATCTTTTTGAACACGATTTCACAATCTCGATGTCATATTTAAGACGTGTGGTAATATATATCACTGCCAGACCAAGCAATGATTCAAAATAGTTACCTCAAATTCGTCTTTGTATAATGCATAATTTGGATGTCAAAATCGAGGCAACTCGAGTTCCTCGTTTAATTTAGTGAACTCTGTAAATACTGCATTGGTCGACACTATAAATGTAGAGGGATAGACATAACGAGTGTTTATTAACATACTAGGGAAACCACTCCCCCAACCCCCCAATATTTTGTGGAGATCACGCCCCGGTTTCTGAAAGGTTACTTAAAGTTAACGAGCGCTTAGTGAAAAAAAATTGTTGCTGCTGAAAGGCCAAATTAGCGCTCAAAATATTTCAATCTGACTGGTGTAAACAAATGAACAGATGTGAAATGATAAAGAATGTTCTTAATTTTGTTTAATTCATGTTTGAAAATTTTCACTAACCGCTAGTTATCTCTGACCAGCCTTTGAACAACCGGGGTCTTGTGTTAATGTTTTGTCTCTGTAATTACTGACATAATGCCTATCCCTATTTCCTCTCGTAGATAGAGTTACACCTATTCAACGAGAATCATTGTCTCTAGATCCTTGTTGTATAAGTTTACAATAACGCTCAAAATATATCCCCAAACAAGTTTAGGTCCACTACTAGGCTATCATGATCACAAACTTTCTCTTATCCAACAATTCTCGTAATAATTTGGATGACATTACAGTATTGAAAGAGTAACGCAATCTTTCCACACATCTCTAATGAGATAAAGCACACGAAAGTTATGTCCATCACATCGTCCAGTTCTGTACGACTTCTCGTGTCATACTGACAACAAATGGGAGTTTTACCTTTTAAAGTTTATAAATTTTACGATAAATAGAATCTTGCAATCGTGTCCATATCACATTAAATATATGAAACTCGTCTAGTGATAAGCTGTGACACTTGCCTGATGAATTGTTTCCATCTCTAAGCATTTGACTGTCCTGTTATGGCATTTATGGTAAATATAAATGACAAAGTTTTTTTCAGGCAAAGTTCCCGCATCAAACGACAATATCTTGATTAAAACTAAGATATATACATGTGAAGTTTTCATCATCGACAGTGTGATCCGTCATATGGAACAGCCATTTTGACGGTGAGTCGTTTTTGTGTCCAAGATACTGACGTCATAATAGTGCTGGATTGTGTCTGATGTCACTCATATTTCCGATTTATGAAATTATAAGGATAAAGAGTAAGAAGGAGTCTGGGCATTTGTTTGTTGATAATTCGCTTGAAAATGGAAGCTTTAGGACGTTTATTGAATATGGAAATAAATCTGGAATATTATATACAAATGCATGATATTTTCTGTCATAGTGTGGAAATGCGCATATGAAGGTATTAAGATATGAGCAGTGAAATCTTGATTGAATGTCTTGTCATACAAAAATTCTTTAATCATAGACGTCATTGTTATAACCGAGACACACTTACCTTACGTGTCCGTAAACTTCCCTGTGTGCGCGTGATCTGGTCTCGTACACTGATTTACTTCCATATATATTGTGTATCAGACTATCCCATCCTTCCTTTAATTTGACGAGGCGATTTTTATTTTTCACTGTAACAGCTTACCAGACATCCCACACTTCTTTTAATTTGACGAGGCGGTCTTAATCCTGTAACGTGTTCACTAAACAACCCTACCTTTCTTTAATTTGACGAGGCGGTGTTATCCCTGTAACAAGTAAACCTGTATATGAAATTGAAAATATGTAAGTCTGCACATACATATAGTTTCTGGTGCCTAGAAAACATACTGAAAACGAGGCCATGTCGACCAAGTTATTGAAAATTGTGTACTAGTATGTAAAAATTTAAATCGGTCTGAAGGTATACATCTGTAAATTAGCTGATCAAGGTGATGGAGACATACAAAATACACGCACGTGGAAACATACATAAATCGAAATACATTATACAGTAATATAGGACTCCAGCTCATCAGTGATGCTAAGGGCGGAACTATGGAAAAGAATGGAATGAAATAGTACAGGTTGGAAAATAAAATCGGCTGAATGATCAGATAAAGATTTTTTTTTCTCTTTTTAATCTATGTGTATCTCAAAATCTTAGAAAAAAAAATTAAAATGTAAAGTACATATTTGTAGTCTGAGATGAGTACTCCTTTTGGAGATGTAAACGTGTCAGCTGACATCAGCAAAAATCGCCGCCGTTAATTTCAGAACAGTCGTAAGCAACACTTTCCTACATTTTGATGAAAAAAGTCACGGGTATTCTAGGCAATGATTGAGTATGGCATTCTGTAAACAAAGAGATGTAACTTTGGGGCATGGATATAAGTCTGTAGTCCTTCTTAAAACTCAGTCTTAAATTAAATAAATAAATACCGTTGAAATTAGTTATTGATACAAATGAAGTATCTTTATTTCACAATGGTAGGGTAAAGTGTTGTTATTGTACTGAAATGGCGCTCTCATTCCCCAATACATGTTTCATCACACACCTTATGAACCACACAGTCACCAGTCTATCCTAAGGGAACTGTTCCCTTGTTGTGGAGAAATCAAAACGAGACAGGAGAAAATCTCTCCCTCTCTCTCATAACAGTTCCATTATTAGGTAATCTGACCAGACCGATCCGCCCGCTTAAAAGAAGAGAGACATCTGTTCGCGGAGATATTGGTTATATTGATCAGGATTGGCCGCCGGGTATTACAATTAACAATATCCACGAGAATTCACTGTGTAGTATTATATCGACATGAAATGGACCGTGATGAATCAAATTTGAGGCGAGAAGGTCTGGAGAAAAATGAGTTTGATCTCAAATCCCTATGACAGTGTTGACTTTGATAATGAATAAAGAAAGTGTAATGTGCAAGTATGTATTTTAACGTTCCGTTTGAGGATTAATTTGTTCGCTTTTCTTTGATCAGTGTGTCTTATTGTTACATGTAATTCAAACTAGATATCATACCTGTCGAAACCCCTCCCCCAAACCCGTGGGACCTCGTTCATTCCCTGATGGGTTTGTTAATAACTCCAGAATATTCCTCTGTGGACCTTGTGTTTAGTTTATCTAACTACGAGACGATTTGGTGGTTGTCCGTTGATCCTTCCACACGTTCATACGCTTCGTGGGATTTTCGGACAGTCCCATAAAGGTTCGCCAGACTTTTGGAAATTCCACTTCTCGGTTGGACCTGGCGCTCTTTAGACCCAAGGCGAGGACCGTTAGTAGGACATGGATGTTGTGGGAGCGGGTGGGGCGGGTGATGGCGTTGTTCACCTCTCCATTGGTTCCTCTGATAGCGATTCTTACCAGGATGAAGAGTCTTATCTAGGCTCTGACTACCCTTAAGGAAACTTGTCTTCTGACCTTCTGATGTTGAAGCCCGGGGGTTTGACTCCGTTAGGTAAGAATGTGGTGTGTTGTCATCCAGTGTACGACTTCCGTAGGTGTGTTATGTTGTCATCCAGAGGTTCGACTTCCGAAGGTGTGGTATGTCGTCATCCAGAGGTTCGACTTCCGAAGGTGTGGTATGTTATCATCCAGATGTTAGACTTCCAAAGGTGAGGTGTGTTGTCATCCAGAGGTTCGACTTCCGTAGGTGTGTTATGTTGTCATCCAGAGGTTCGACTTCTGTAGGTATGGTATGTCGTCATCCAGAGGTTCGACTTCCGAAGGTGTTGTATGTTGTCATCCAGAGGTTCGACTTCCGAAGGTGTGGTATGTCGTCATCCAGAAGTTCGACTTCCGAAGGTGAGGTGTGTTGTCATCCAGATGTTCGACTTCCAAAGGTGAGGTGTTTTGTCATCCAGAGGTTCGACTTCCGTAGGTGTGTTATGTTGTCATCCAGAGGTTCGACTTCTGTAGGTGTGGTATGTCGTCATCCAGAGGTTCGACTTCCGAAGGTGTTGTATGTTGTCATCCAGAGGTTCGACTTCCGAAGGTGTGGTATGTTATCATCCAGATGTTCGACTTCCGAAGGTGTGGTATGTTGTCATCCAGATGTTCGACTTCTAAAGGTGTGTTATGTTGTCACCCAGATGTTCGGCTTCTAAAGGTGTGGTATGTCGTCATCCAGAGGTTCGACTTCCGAAGGTGTGGTATGTTGTCATCCAGAGGTTCGACTTCCGAAGGTGTGGTATGTCGTCATCCAGAGGTTCGACTTCCGAAGGTGTGGTATGTCGT